TCAGATGGTGTAAATCTCTCTTTAAAACTTATTAATGCGCAAACAAATATAATAATTGCTGAGAAGTAGGGGTTATACACCGGGGCTCTTGGGCAGGAACCGGACAACGGAAAGTTTGTGAAGGCTTCGGGAAAACCGACGACGAGGACATCCTCCTCGTACTCCTCGGCCATCTCCGCGTATTCCGGATCTGCCTCTCGTATATGCAAGGATGATTTAACGCACCTATAGACAAAACACAACCTAACAAGGTTTATAACATCTATAGATACACCACATTTTTACGAAGCTAACAAAACTGGTTTAGTCTTTTTCTGTTTTTTCTATGATTTTTGGTGAATTTTGTAAGATCTCGGTTTTTATAAAAAAAGAAAAACGAAAGAAAAGGAAAAAGGCTTGCTTGAGCTTGGTCTAGCCCACAACAAAGTCGGCCCAACTGCAAGAATTCAGCCCAGGTTTAAAAAGAAGCCCACTAGGATCCAGTTCAGGTCCACTTAGATCTGAACATTTTGCATTAGGAATCTTGATCTACTTTAAAAATCATTAAGACCATTCCATCTTTTTTTTATCTCTAACATCTTTACATCTGGAACCCCGTATTTCTTTCTATTTTCTTCCTCACACCTAATCTCCTTCTCAATGTTAAAGCAACGTGAATCAGCAGGCAGGGCCCGACACCCCAAAACCGACACGTACATGCACGAAAATTATGGTGTCATAAATTTTACCTCTTTAGTATTAAGGTATAGATAAGGCATAATATATGCTCGTATCTAGATACGTACTCCTTTTGTCCCTAATTAAATGTTATTTTTTTGCTTTCTGACAAACAACTTTGACTAAATATATATTAAAAAATATTAATACTTATGATACATAACTAGTATAATTAAAAATATCTTTAAATCTAGTTTTTTAATAAATTTATTTGGAAATACAAATGTTACACGTATTTTTTATAAATCCCATCCAACTCGCGGGACATGCACTGACGGCGAGTTATTTAGGCACGGAGGGACCTTGACTGCGCTATGAATCTCTACCCTGAAAGAATCACCGGTCAATCACCCTGCCCTGCTGATACGAGCTCTGTCCGCGAGTACCGAGGGCTGGTTTAGTTTCAAAAATTTTCACCTCAAATTATCACATCGAATCTTACGGCACATGTATGGAGTATTAAATATAGATGAAAAAAAAACTAATTGCACAGTTTGGTTGGAAATCGCGAGACGAATGTTTTAAGACTAATTAGTTCATGATCCATAAGCGCTACAGTAACTAACATGCGTTAATGATGGATTAATTAGGCTTAATAAATTCGTCTCGCAGTTTCCAAGTGAGCTATGTAATTAGTTTTTTTTATTAATATCCAAAATCCTCTTTCAACATCCCTAAAACATTCAATGTAACATCAAAATTTTTTATTTCACGAACTAAACACATAGTCTGTCCGCTGAACACAGGACGAAGACGTGACTTGTGACTCACTGTCGCTGACTTGACGAACCTTTACTTCAATTACACATTTGGGCCTTGTGACATGTGGCTATGGGCCTGTCCGCACATGGGCTTTGCCTGCCCGACGGCCTAGCTACCGTAGATAGTACGCTATGGATTCCACTAAAAAAAATAGTACGCTATGGATTTCCACAACTTCAGAACAGCACGTCGGCACACCACACAAGCAAACAAGTGGCCAGTGTACGAGCAATACATAGACAGGCACGAATCGCACTGTAAGACCCAACTCTAAATCCTGACTCTTTTGTCTCCAATGTTCAGTTGTTTGTTTAATTATTAGTTGGATATTAATTAACCTGGTTGGTTAATTTTTGGAGCATAGTGGAATGGTGTGTATTATTAAATATAGATGCATCCAAAAAAGGCAAACTAGAGGTATCTGTTGCAATTAACAAAGATTGATACTCCATCCGTTTTAAATTATAAGTCGCTTTGACTTTTTTTTGATACATCTATTTTGCTACATAAATAATATATCTAGATACATAGTAAAATGGATGAACCCAAAAGTCAAAATGACTTGTAATTTGAAATCTTAGGAGTATATAAATTGACATTTTTGCTATTATACCTGTTGTGCTATTGAATCATTTTAATTTTGAATTTTATTTTACTTTCTTTGTTATCGACTTCGCCCTACCTCAAATTATTTCCGTCCTCGGTCATGGATGGTAAGAAATATTCCCTCCATCCCAAAAAATAATGTAATCCTGGTTTCAAATCTTGTCTCAAAAAGAATATAAATGTAGATTTAAAATTAACTTTTCCAATAGGATCCACCTATTAATACCACTACATGTCTAAAATCTATCATATTCTATTCATCCATGAGAAGAACATATGTAACCATTGTTTTTTAGTTTGTAGAATAATAGAGTATCGGTAAATGTGTAATTTAACACATACACTAATCTTACCTCAAAAATTGATATTTACATTCTTTGTGGGACGAAGATACTAGTTTTTGTAGTTTTTACGTATATGTATATCTAGATAGGTATTATAAAATATAGGGTTTTTTAGATTGGCAACATTACAATTTTCGGTTATTGGAGATATACCATTACAATTCGACTAATTCAAACCATACCATTACAATTGTGCGATACTCGGACCAACGCCATGGGATACGCTCAGCGACGTCTTGGGGCCACCTACAGGTGTATACACTACCTCACTATTTCTGTATAGACGTCCATGCCCTCGGGTCAATTGGATAAGGCCCACCAGGCGCCGGCTACCCCTCTCCCTTTCCTCCTCGCCACGCTCTGTTCGTCCTCCTCGCCGCGCTCTGTTCGCCTCCTCCCTTCCCATCCGCTAGGGTTAGGTGCTGCAGCCGCCGGCTCCGCCGCTGTGCCCAGCCGCCGCTGCCGTTTGCCCATGGCCACCACGGCTTCCAGCTCATCACAGCAGGGGAGGACTCTCCCTCTCGTGGACTGCCCCCAGTGCTTGGTGCCCATCGTCAAGTGCAAGAGCAAGAACGACAACTTCTACTACAGGTGCTCAAATAGGTGTGGTAAATGGTGGTTTGAGGATGCATATGAGCTCTATTTGCGCAATAATCCTGCCAATCTGTTGGAGAGTTCTTTTGTTTCTGGAAACAATCCAGCTGGTGCAGTTCAAGTTGTCCAGCAGCCTGCCGCTACTACTGTTGGAGGGTTCGAGATGGTGGCACTTGATTTGAAGTTGCTGCTCAGTGACATCAAATTGGAGATTGGCAGCCTGAAGACTGAAGTGAAAGAACTGAAAGACGAGGTTAAGAAGGAAAAGAGTCCAATTGTCTTGGACAATGCAGCTGTTGTTTTCTTGGCAATATTTGTAACTGTCCTGGTGGCTATTGTATGGATCAAATGAATTCTCATGTAATGTAGCCTATGTTAGATAGTGTTAGCTTAGAATTTGGGTAGCTTTTGTGCACTCTCATGATGAGTGGGTAATGTAAGCATTTGCTCTGTACTTGGAGCTATGTTTGTTTGCAATTTATGAACAAGTTGCATGTTTGTCGAAACTTAACACTGCAATAAATGAACAAGCAGCATGTTTGTCATCCTTGTGTTTGTCATGTGACATTGAACTAGTGCCATCCCAAGTTGGCCCAGCTCCACATCCACCTCCAATGGTCTCATAGTAACCAAAGGCGTCCCCAAAGGTCAAATTGTTCATGCAGCCCTGAGAGCAGGCACTAGTTCGCAGCAATAACTGCGCTACAAGGATTCCAAAGCTAAGGAATTGGAAAGAAGGCATATGAGCACATCTCCTTTAATCAAGACCAACTATGAGATAACCAAGGAACCAAGACCAACTATGAGACAACATGAGCCATACATGGCTCAGAATTGCAAGTTTGGTCATGAAGCAGCATATCTCATGCAGATATTCCCACACATGAAGATGAGATCATCACATATTGAAACAAAGAAAAAACAACTTTGAAATACACTAGGAAGTTGGAGATCTATGAGATTGCATGAGCAAACCATTTCATTGGGCCTGGGCCATGGTCCCCCCAAAGTTCCATCACTATACAACATACAGAGCCTTTTAAATTCTGATGATAACAGGATGAAAGCATCCAAGGCTATTATTCTGTACCAAAGAGATGAGCTGGACCAATTCAAATAAAAACTATAAACTGGACACCCCATAAGCATAGTTGCATAGTTCACAGAAATATATTAGATAAGTTCACAGAAGTATTACCTAGGCCATCAGCATTCACTACATAGTGTTTTTTGAGGCCATTAACAAAGATAGACTACCATTACAAGTTCATGTGCCCAAAATGATCGAGAGGCACAGAGAGAAGTTTTTGTGCCCAAAAGCATTACATGACATTACAAGTTTTTTTTTGCCAGCATCGAGAGAACATTTTGAGCCTTGTCAAGTAGACTATGGATCAAGACAAGCTTTGTGATACTAGTCACAAAGAAGTGGGAGGTGGGTTTGCCTTTGCCCTTTTCACTTTCTTCTTCTTCACAGTGTTTTTTTCTTGGCATGTGGTTGTCTTCTTTTTTCTTTTTGTTCACCTGTGGTTGTGAGGTACCTGCATCATCTTCTATGGTCCTCTTTCGCAATGGTTTCTGCATGGACCTCTTTCACCATCTTGACCAACCTCTCGGCTCTTTGCGCTTTTTTGGAAGTGGCCAAGTCCTCCACATCTTTTGCATCTCACCTTTTTCTTGGTAGCCCTTTTCTCCATGCATCCTCTAATCCTTTGCACCTTTGGCCTCCCCTGGTCCTCTACCCAATAATGGTTGGTGCACTTTGAACCCAAGATCAACTTCAGCCACTTTGGGATCTATCGGTATAGGTTCAACTCTTGCCTCATAAGCTTTCTTGAATTTAGCCACCGAGTAGTAACTCATGCACATAATCTTCTATTTTCATCCCTCTATTGGACAATATCCAGGCCAAAGCATGTCTACAAGGCTTTCCGGTGACTTGCCACTCCCTGCAAGAACAATTGTGATTTTGTAGGTCTACTGTTTCGCGCTTCTGGTTGTTCCATTGGTCCACAATGGTAACTTCAGCAATGTCATCATCACTTCTGAGATACTCTCGAGGACCGTCTGGTGATTGCTAATCAGATTAAGTTCCTTAATAACATTAGGGAGAATCCTATCATGCCACTGTCTAGCCAGTTTCTTCCTCAAGTATCTCTTCTCCATTATCAACTCCCGCAACTTGTCTACTAGTTCATGCAGCAATAGACCCTTGAATTTCTTCACTTGTGCATTAAAACTCTCTGACACATTATTAGTCAAGGCATCACACTTGCTGTTTTCAAAAAAAGAACTCCTGTACCATAACCTACTATGGTGCGTGTCAAGATACTCAATTGTTCCAGGTGCAAAATCAAATATTTTCTTCATGTGCCATTTGAACATTCCTTTTGTGTAGCTCCTAGTCATTGGGTATAGGTGATCAGTGAAAACATCACCTGTGTAGTGCTTCATGAAATTCTGGTAAAGGTGTCTCATGCATTCCCTATTTTCAGCATTTGGGAATACAGCTCCAACAACCTTCTCCAAACCTTTACAAGCATATGTACAAATAATAAGGTTTGGAACATCACCAATGGCTATGTGCAGCTGTTGCATGAACCATGTCCAGTTTTCCTCATTCTCAGTGTCAAAAATTGCATATGCAATGTGATACAACCAATTGTGCCCATCTATACCAGTTGCAGATGCCAACTGTCCTCTGTACTTACCATACAAACATGAAGCATCAATCCCTATAAATAGTCTGCATCCCTCTAGAAAGCCATCAATACATGGCTTAAGAGCTACAAAAATCCTCCTAAATCTCTGCTTGCCCTCAACCATCTCTACCTCTATCTCGCACATGATGCTGGTGATGATTTGGCAATCTGAAAGCTGCCCAATTGAAATGTAAGTGAAAACTCTCCTCATATTTTCCATGGATCTGCTCTAGTGCTACCTTCATGCCAGACCATGCTTTGGAGTACTTGAGCTTGATACCATAGTCACCCTCTAATTTGTCCTTGCAATCTGTTGGAGTCTTAGTAGGATGCCTCTTCAACCAATCCCCTAACCTTTCTGCAGCCCAGCCTTGGGTTGCCATTTTGGTTTCTTGGAGTTTAGTAGTATCACATTTATGTTCTGCACATAGTGTTTTGATCTGCATACGCATGTAAAATTGTTAAATTATAAGGTGGAAAAGCGGTAACAAAATGAAAGAGATGTCATAACTATAATTCACCTCTATTGTCTTGCCATCAAAGATCCTTGAAGCATGTATACGCCAAGGACACCCTTCAAATTTTTTACACGTAGTAATAAACCTAGTCTTATCTGTAATGATTTTACCAAATTCAAACCCTTTCACCATCGCATGATGATGTCTCACCGCCTTCCTAAATGCAACAATGTTAGGAAATCTTTCTCCTTCTCTATCTTGGGGTTTTCGGGATCATAGATAACTTGAACCTCCTCCGGATCTCAAGATCATTTACCTCCGCCTCAAGAGGAACACCTCCTTTCAAGAAGACACCAACATCATCAAACCGATCAAGAACATGAACATAGTCATCATCGCAGCAGCAGTATGAGCATGGTTGTTACAAGGTTCTGCATTGTTAGTCGTCCTGCATGTGCATGTGTAGATCCTTCTTCATCAACAACACCGACATACTCCTCATCATTGTCAAACATGTCAGGTTCCCTGTCAGGCTCAGGCTCTAATGGATACTCATCATTATCAGAAGGCTGGGTTGGTGGAATGTCTTTGCTACTGGGGTTGCCGTGAATAGAAAACTCAGGTGGAATCACACATATTGGGTCTAGGTTTGTAAACTCATCAGACTGTCTAAGACAACTGTCAAACACAAGAACTTCACAGCGCATCTGATCCTTATACATTTCAAACAAGTCATGCATCTGAAAATCATTTTCTATTCTCACATCTTCACATAGCCTTTTGTCAAAGAACCACACACTAGGAGACTGGCTACTGGACCACTGGAACTCATTGCGCAGGCTTGTCAACAGCAAATCGAAGGAAAATGAAGCTACTTCAACATCCCACTTAATCAAGCGTCCCTTTGTGTATGCTTTTCTACCAGTGCTGTTTTTGGTACAAAATCCTTCTACTTTCATCACTAGCGAGAACAACGAAACCCTAGCAACAAACAAAATCAACCCCAAATCCAATGAATCCCTATCAATAGCCTCAACGAAATCTACCGAGGACGAGCTCATTCACTATAGAGGGAAGAAAAAGAGGCAGAGGATAAATACCCGTCCTCGTCGTCCGCCATCTCCGCCGTGCCGCGCGGCTGCGTCTCACCCATTGCGCGCAATAGGGTGCATCGCAGCACGCACGCAAGCTGGGTGCTTCTGGTCGTCGGAGTCTATGCCACCGAAGACAGGGTCGCCGCCGTCCTGCTCGCCACCGTCGTCGGGGTGAGGGTGAGTGAGAGGAGACAGAGCGTGAGGAGGAAGAGAGCAGTCAGCCTGGGTAGGATACGGAGGCACCTTATCCAATTGACCCGAGGGCATGGACGTCCATACGGAAATAGTGAGGTAGTGTACACACTTGCAGGTGGCCCCAAGACGTCGCTGAGCGTATCCCATGGCGTTGGTCCGAGTATCGCACAATTGTAATGGTATGATTTGAATTAGTCGAATTGTAATGGTATATCTCCAATAACCGAAAATTATAATGTTGCCAATCCAAAAAACCCTATATTTTATAATACCTATCTAGATATACATATACGTAAAAACTACAAAAACTAGTATCTTCGTCCCACAAAGAATGTAAATATCAATTTTTGAGGTAAGATTAGTGTATGTGTTAAATTACACATTTACCGATACTCTATTATTCTACAAACTAAAAAACAATGGTTACATATGTTCTTCTCATGGATGAATAGAATATGATAGATTTTAGACATGTAGTGGTATTTAATAGGTGGATCCTATTGGAAAAGTTAATTTTAAATCTACATTTATATTCTTTTTGAGACAAGATTTGAAACCAGGATTACATTATTTTTTGGGATGGAGGGAATATTTCTTACCATCCATGACCGAGGACGGAAATAATTTGAGGTAGGGCGAAGTCGATAACAAAGAAAGTAAAATAAAATTCAAAATTAAAATGATTCAATAGCACAACAGGTATAATAGCAAAAATGTCAATTTATATACTCCTAAGATTTCAAATTACAAGTCATTTTGACTTTTGGGTTCATCCATTTTACTATGTATCTAAATATATTATTTATCTAGCAAAATAGATGTACAAAACAAAAAAAAAAAGTCAAAGCGACTTTTGGGAGCAGCATAAAAGAGCTCAACGGAGAGCCGAGAGCATCGGCCAACTGTGCGCCGGCACCCCAACGCCGCGCACTGGCAGATCAGCACAGGCTCCTCCCTCTCTAGACCGGGTCGTCCTGCACGGCTGCACCGCGGAGGCTGCTAGAGACCACAACGCCGCGCAGCCGGCCGGCCGTCCCGTGGCTCGTTGGTACGCCCGCGACCCCGCGTACACCATGGTCCGCCCTAGTACGCTTATCCGGCGACGTTACTCACGATGCGATGCGATGCGAGGCCGGAACTGGGGACAGCTGGGGCCTGTCTTATTTAAACCCTGACACCATAGTCAGTCAGTCGTCTCTACCTCATCCACCTCTCTGACGAATCTTGATTCTTGAGGTGAGCCTGCCTAGTCTCTCGTCTCCCTCTTCCCCTCCGGGGGATGTTGCTGTGCTTTCGACCTCCTTATTAGATGCTTCTTGCTCCTCCTGCAGCTGTAACCATAGATCTGTGGGTTTTTTGGGGGTTTTGATTCAGATTTAGTTTCCTGCCCATGATTTCTTCTCTCACCAGCAAGAGGCTGTCACTCCAACCAATAGAACTTATGTACAAGCTGTTCGTTGCCTCCTCCCAGTGCCTGGCCAGAGACTGATTGGTTTCCCAACTTCTGTTTTACTAGATTTTAGTTCATTGTTAAGCACGTGCTCAGTTCTTTTGTTGGGCATTAATGGAGTAACCACAGCATTGCTTCTCTGGCCAATTGAAAATGTTTGTTCCGTTCATTGTCAGAACGCAATAGAAGCGGAGAAAGAGTATCCGTGATGTAAATAACAACTGTAAGTTGTAGGGTAATCGTATTGATTTTGTGCTACTGAGACTGATCAGGCTTGGAACTGGATGCGTTAGTTTTCTAGATCTGGGAATTTGGGCCTTTTAGTTGGCGATTTTTTTTTTTGGAAATGGTACTGTAGCACTTTCGTTGATATTTGGCAATTAGTGTCCAATCATAGTCTAATTAGGTTTAAAAGATTCGTCTCGTGAATTTCGTCTAAACTGTGTAATTAGTTTTATTTTTTATTTATATTTAATGCTTTATGCATGTGTCTAAAGATTCGATGTGACGGGGAATCTTGAAAAATTTTGCAAAATTTTGGGAACTAAACAGGTCGTTTTGGCCTACTCATGCTTTTATGTTTCCTTCCACTGCCTTGGGATTCCAAGAAATTTAACTGATGGCCCAGAATTTCAGCAACACACCATATTTTGCCTTTGAAGATTTGTTGATATATGTCAATTGGTATACTGTTAGAAGAAACTAACCAAAGTCCTGTTTTGTTATGCTCCAGGTTGATTTGGTGTCATCTCTTTTAGCTGCAACTGCAGCAAGCTGTGATCATGGCATCGCTGAGTGCCGACCTTTTCTATGATATACTGAAGCGTCTCGATGCTGCAGCTCTGGCAAGAGCAGGCTGTGCCTGTGCTGATTTTCGTGCCATATCAAATGAAGAGGATCTGTGGGAAAATGCTTGCACATCTCTGTGGCCATCAACGAGACAAGATGATGTTAGGAGCTTAATTGTTTCTGTTGGTGGATTCAGGAAGTTTTATGCAGATTGTTTCACCCTTATATTGAACAAGGATGTCCCTGTCGTTCAAACTAATGAAAGTAATTTCTTTGCCGAAGAATGGGCCGAGTCTGACTACTACTATGATGACTTGGATGAGCTTGAAGACTTATTGCCTTCGGACTTCGTATCTCTGATTGATGTATGGTACAAAGACCGTGCACTCTACTCAAAGGTCATGTGGGGAATTCCCAACTCAAACAGTGCCAATGGATGGTTCTATAACTACCCGTTCCAGATAGACTTGTTTCAACACTCAGCTGAAAACAATGAGAACAATAATGGAGAGGTATTCCTATCCACCATCAATAACTTACCATCGGTGCCCTCGATGGAGCAAGAAAGGAAAGACGGGAAGCTATGGAGGGAACTGAATGATGGCATAAAGTTGAGTTGGATCATTGTCAACCGAAAGATGAAGCGGGCAGTAAACCTAACGAGTTGGCACCCGCTGAGTGGGCAGAGGCACTGGCCAACCGATACTGATTTCGTTCTACGGTTTGGGTCTGTCCTTCCGGCAAAGGAGGTCCTGCCCTGCCAGGTAGCAGAATGTATTCTGTTGATGAAATTCCGTGTGACAAGCATGGGCAGCGAGGAGGCTGGGGAACCTTCAACACTTGCGCTGACGGAACTGAGTATGCAGATCGAAGACATGGGCGGTGTTCATCTCAACGGGCGCTGCAGCCTCCTCCTTCTCAAGGAGGCGCTGAGCTGCCACCGGAGCAGGAACTATGATGAGGTGCTGGAGTCTTGCAATTTGTATCTGAAGGCACAGAGTGAGCTGAAAGAAGAGAAGATACGCAGTGAGTGCCGGTTCGACACACTCTGTATTTTCAGTGGCATTACAATATTTGCTGCTATCTGCACCATGTGCTATAGAAAGTTTTAGAAGTTTTGACTTTTTAGATAAGGCTAGCTGCGGATTTAATAAATGTTGTAGTGATGCACATGCTTGAGAGCTTGTAAATACAGCCTGCTTACTATTGCTGGTTATTAGTTCTCCTTAGATATTTCATGGGGAAAATAACCTAATGTCCTCATAGATGCAATATGTTGCAATATTTTGGATGTTGACCAGTAGTCAGTAGAACACCACCAGAACAATAGAAGCTGAAGTCTTATAACAAAAATATGTTCCATACACCTTGGTGCCAATACATCATTACTTACAAAAATCTCACTAGTAACGCCATTTGCACCAATTTGATTTTTAATAAAATAAAAAAAGAAACACGTGAGAGGTCAACAACATCAAGAACGACCTCAGAATAATGAAGGGGCTAGGGAATAATATGGCCCATGGACCTATATAACGCGCCCAAACCATGTGCAGATAAAGTGTAGCCTATACAAGTCACGGATAAAGCTGCTGGTGATCATCCGTGGAACGAAAATGATGAGAATGCTGGACAGCGTGGACTCTCCCTCCTGTGGAGAGGAAAGTAGGAACGCATGACTCTGTGCAACGGAAGGGCTTTATTCATAGCCAGCCGTGTCTCAGAAAAGATCGGCTTTCTTTTTCTGCAACTCTTGCTTCCACCTTGGCTGCTCGTAGAATTCCTCTTTGGTCATACCAAATACGGTTTCGAATTCACTGTCCACCAAATATGTCTGCAGAAGCAAAATGAACTTAGCCTTTGGAATCCATAAACATGAGGTGCAGTAAATGCAGAAGAGACTGCCATCGGTTGATAGATATTCCAATGAGATGAAAACGATTAAAAAACGTCATCGATTTAGTTGAGTTTGTAATAAACCCAGCTCGATAATTATACTTCAATTAGAGAAATGGTCACTATTCCTGCTTCTGTTGCAAATAACTGCTGGTTGCGGTACTAGGCCTACAAATTACTAAGAGTACCATTATCTTTTTGAAGAAAAGAGCATCATAATCTAGGTGAGCATAGTTAACTCATAAATATATTTGAAACTGAAAGCATAGAACGATTCCATTTTCTGCAGTTGTAACAGAAGAATTTGGCTGTGGTTCTGATAAAATCTTGACCATTTCATTTATTCTCCTTGTCTAGATCAGTTTGTTTATTTTCCAAATAACCTTCCACACCTCGTGTTCTTCATGACTAACAGCAATTGCGGCAAAACGCCTACAGTCCTGACTGGTATTTTCCAAATTGGAAGTCTGAGATATTAGTAACCAGAAGTTACCTCAGAAATAGGACCTTGAAGCAAAGTTATAAGAAATTTCCAAAACTTACCTATTTACTCTTTAAGGTGAGTAAGCTTGCCTACAGATGTTTACAAGCAAAAAAGTTATATCTAGCATGTCCTACAGGGAGAGGAAAACCGATCCAGTAAATGGAAATTTTGAAGTAAATGCTAAGCGCCTGAGCCTTAGTTGAGGCGAACTTAGGTGCCTATTTTCTTCCTAGTATAAATAAATCCACCAGTACTCCTAAATTGGTCTAGATTTAAATAAAATGCACACAAAGTTTCATGTATTGTTACGACAAATACTCAGCCCTTTCACAAGGAAATGAGGTAATAGAAGAGGGATAACTTTTTTCAAGGATGCAGTGGGAATCACAAACCTCTCTGCGCTTGTAGTCTATCCCACTAACAGGGTCAGTGGACTTTGATATCAAGCGTTCATAGCTAAAGGTCGTCTGGCCTCCATTTTCGTTAGCAGTTTGTTCCTGTGAGACATCAGGCTCTGTTCGGACATCTTCAGGCCCTGTTTCTAACTGATGGGGAGAAGCAGGAGCTAATTCAGTCTTCTCAGCATCTGCATCAAGTGAAGGCATCATCAACCTTTGCCATCAAGCTAAGAGGTAAAAATTAATCACAGAATTCTCATGGGTTCATCTTCATCTACTTTCTTGCAGTTACTAAGCGAATCCTATTAATTATTCATAAGTAAAACTCAAGTAGTTTAAAAAAAAAGAGTAAAACTCAAGTAAACACAGTTAACAAACTTAAATACATCTCAGATCCTTTTTTACTCTTCCAGAGCAAAACCAAAAGGACACGATTTGACTATTTCTACAAAAACAAAGTGATGCAACATGCCGGTGCTAAAAATATCCAATATTATTTACCAGAATTACTACCATAACAGGAACAATATCACTGGGAGCTTGAGACATGCTTCTAGTTTTGTTATCTTCCTAAAGAAAAGGTGAAACTTCAAATCAAATTTAGGCTGGCAAGTCTAACCTGCTGTGGGAGACGACCTACTGTGGAGGGGGCTGTGAGATCCCTCTGCAGTCAAAACATTGGACAGTGCTGCAACAGCAGCGGCTCTTTGAGACCCTTGGCCTGAATGAGATTGTGTGCTGCTGGGTTTTGACGATGTATTAAGGGCAGAGGACAAGGCAGCCATTGCTGAAGCACGTTGGCTATGCTCGCTGTCACCTGATGAGCTTGTGGGCCTCTCATCTGACTGAAAACCCATGGGATTTGGTGGTTAGCAGATAAGAAAAATCGGGAAGGAAATTATTATTATTTTTTAAACGGAGGGAAGGAAATTATTAGCAGTACCTGTTTTCCTTGTGACGATGGATTCAATGCAGATGAAAGAGCTGCCAAGGCTGATGCCCTTTGAGTTGGCCCACCATCACCTGATGAGCCCTTATTTCCACCCTGGAAGCAGTTAAAAAGGCATGAAGCAGAAAAAAAAGGAAAATAACATGTAGCATTCTTTGTAAATTGAATAGCAAAAGTTTACTTACCTCTGAACGCATTCCAAAAAGAACTGAAAGTTTCTTCTCAAAAGAGTTTCCATGAATCTGTTTCAAGAATGACACATATCAGCTTAACCGCAAGCAAAGAAAAAAGGTATGCCGAATATTGGACATATGAGCAAAGTCCATTAAGTGAAAAAAGGTAAACCTTCAAAATATCATCTATTCCATACAAATAGATAATAAATGGGACATAGTTAGAACGAAAAGCTGAATTTTTGAAATACAGAAGTAAATATCTAAGAGCATACCACTGATCGTGTGTTATCCCAGGAGAAGTATGTCCTGAAGAAGCAAGGTTCATTCCCTTCATTGACTTTATAGAGAGGCACATCAGGAGAAATACCTTCAAAGGCCATGGCATGTTGTACGTATTTCTGGGAGGGAAGCAATCGTTGCTAGGAGTTGGACGATAGTGATCCAACCAAAAACAGAAAGGTTAACACTTAAACTTGGTACCTACCTGGCCAATGTCAAATGCTTTCTGTTTTTCTTTTGTCTCCACACACTGACCCATCCAAACAAAAACCTCACAGTGTGTATCAAGTATCATCGTATCTTCGGTCAACAAATCATCTTGTGAAAAATTGAAAACTTCAGTAACCTGTGTACAAGTGAGCTTTAAGATTTTTTTGAAAAAACAAGATTATTGGAACATGACCAATTTGGATCAAAGCAATACAGCAACAAACCTCCAGCTTCCCTGACAAATGGTGACGATGTTATCACGATTGAAGCCAAAAAAAAATGATAATAAAACATTAGGGTCACTATAAAGCATAAAAACCAGAATGTGGTAAGATTGAGAAACACTGTGAATAGAAGGTTTGACTACTACTAACCATTCCTAAGAGAGAAGGTATACAAATGAGGCTCTCTAATAACAGCATCAGGTGCAGCATTTTTACTTGTATAACTCTGCTTTCCACCAATAGAAGACCAGAAAATAGAGCTCTCAGTGCCCTCCTTGCAATGTTTGACAGCAACACCGGTCTGTAGGATTGGGGGTACAGATAATTTAAGTAAGTGAGTAATAGTGGCCACGATAAGACATGTCAATTACTTGCAATTTTATCAGAATCAAGTGCTGCTGAGGGAGGAGGATTCAGCAACCAGCGTAGTTCTGTCCTACCGCGTTGGATCATTAATAAACCTTAAATTAGACAGCAGTGAGAAAACACCAGTATTTGTGCATACAATTATTACCTTCCAGCATGATGAATTTTTATCATAAAGATCATTCTGTTAGCAGCTTTCAACAAAATAGTCTTTCAGAATTGTTTGCTCAAAACAGGTTTTCCATAAGCTTTACATAACACTCCAATAGAGAAGAAGCACAAAACTGCAAATAAACTTGAAAATATATTCTAAAACCCTTCTCAATATCCATTTCTAACCAATCTACTAAGTGGTAGAGAAGAAATGATTTTTTTCCTTAGTGACGAGGTACTACCTCCCGTCCAAAATTAAGGCATTCAAACTTCAAAAATATTTTCATTGTTATACATTAATCATTTTGATTGTCACATGAAATCAAGGTTCTAAATAGTCCACTATAATTTTTTATAGGGTCTACCGCTACAATATTGTTAATTGTTCCGCTATCACCGCTAAAGATGCTCTAGGTCTGCTAAACACCACTATTTGTTTTAGCCGTGAAATAGATTTAGCAGCACTAATCCTGACCGAAGCAGAAATTCATACCTTAGTCTAAAAGACTAATATGTGCCTCTCCATTAGGTTCTTGATACTGATTTAATAAATCATTGAACAATTGATCCTTGAATAGTGAATGAATATGATGTTAATCACAGCCGTGAGTATGTTGATTGATATGGTCAATGTTAAGTAATAAATGTGGAGGCATGCTCTCCTAGAGCCTGTACATGTATTTAATTATTTATGTTCATAAAATTTTGCTTTGCTAAATGTTTTTGTGCATAATTAATTAAGAATTTCATGTTTTCTATAAAACCGCTAAATGAAATAGCTTTGGCTATATTCTGCTATAGTTTTTGAAGGAGCCCACCGCTAAATATCTTAGCCCACAATTTAAAACATTGCATTCAATCAATATAAATATGGTTAATTACATTCACATTCAAAATATATTGATTTAACTGTAATTTAATAATTTTTTGCAATGCTACTTTGAAGAAATATAGTCAAAGGTGTGACAATATCCTAAACGACCAAGTAAATAGGAAGAGAGTTGTTATGAACGTAGTTCATTAGGAGATAGCTAGGCAAAGTTGGATTGGAGGGAGACTAGAGCATCAGGGGATCTGGGATTAATTCTTCTTCATTGCTTTCTTTCCTTGATACATCTCCCTTTATATAGAGAGGATTATTGGTCCCCTAAGAAGGCTCAATCAAATCCTAACAAATCGTATCCAATCCTGTCTCTAATTGACCAAAATCTAATCCTATCTCTAATTAATATTATGGGCCCCTGGCCCCCTACCTGATGCCCCATAACAAGGTTACCATGCATGAAAAGGAATTATCAAAATTGGTTTCATTGTTCCATACCTTCAGAAATTCAGCAACTTTAGCAGCCCACTGTTGTTGTTCAAAAGAACTTGAATTTCCATTCCATAAAAACATCGAGTTTTTAGTTTGCAAAACAAAACAATCCGTGGAACTCAAGGATGTTGGGACCTAGAAAGTCAAATAACAATTAGTTCAAGGGAGCAAAAGGTTGGACTCTTTTAAGTTATTTACAGTGCAGTTTTGTATTAGCTATACAAACAAGGATAAAGCTTTTTTTTCATGCGTGTACTCTTTAATTAAGTCTGTTGGCCAAGAAAAAAACATTTTTTTTAAAAAAAAGAGAGGATGATGGTATGCAGGCCATAATGAGAACATAGTGATTCCATCCAGCATTAGTTCCTGTAAAGAAACACCGCACACCCTAATCAGGGGGGTGACCTTCATTATATAGCCTAATAGGCTAGGGTTACCATGTATACAAGGCCAATGGGCCATTACGCCCAATATGGGCTGTATGTGTTACAATTATATTCTAACACCCTCCCTCAGTCTAAGCGGGAGTGTCACGAACACAAAGACTGGACCTAAAATCAGTAAACAACTGTACAGGTAACCCTTTGGTCATAATGTCCGCGAACTGATGAGACGATGGGACGTGGAGCACCCGGACCTGTCCCAAGGCCACTTTGTCACGGACGAAGTGAATGTCTATCTCGATGTGCTTCGTGCGACGATGATGAACTGGATTGGCAGTCATGTAGACAGCGCTGACATTGTCACAGTAGACAACCGTCGCCGAAGAGATGGGCGCATGGAGCTCCTGAAGCAACTGACGAAGCCAACAAGTCTCAGCCACAGCGTGCGCAACAGCACGATACTCAGCCTCCGCACTCGAACGAGAAACCGTGGTCTGTCGTTTGGAGGACCAAGAGACTAGGTTGTCGCCGAGGAAGACACAGTAGCCCGAAGTGGAGCGCCGAGAGTCCGGACAGCCAGCCCAATCAGCATCGGAGTAGGCGGTCAAATTGTCGATGCCGCCAATGCCAATGTGAAGCCCAGTGGACAGAGTGCCCTTCACATACCGCAAGACACACTTGAGCACGCCAGATGAGGCTCGCGCGGGTCGTGCATGAAGAGACACACCTGCTGAACGGCGTAGGCGAGGTCCGGACGAGTCAGCGTGAGGTACTGGAGAGCACCAGCGAGGCTGCGGTACTGGGTAGCATCCTCCACCGGAGCGCCATCCGTAGCAGAGAGCTTGGCGCGAGTGTCCACAGGGGTCGCTGTAGAGTGACACTCGGTCATGCCAGCGCGCTGGAGCAGATCCACAGCGTATTGGCGCTGGGAAAGGAAGAGGCCGCCAGAGGACCGTGTGACAGAGATCCCGAGGAAGTGATGGAGATCCCCGAGATCTGTCATGGCGAACTCGGAGTGAAGGAGCCCGGTGATGCGCCGAAGTAGTGCGGGCGACGAAGCTGTCAGGATGATGTCGTCGACGTAGAGCAGCAAGTAGGCGATGTCGGCGCCCTCTTTGTAAATAAAGAGAGACGTGTCGGAGGTCGAAGCAGTGAAGCCAGACCGTTGGACGAAGCTGGCAAACCGCTGGTACCAGGCTCTGGGCGCCTGCTTGAGTCCGTACAAGGACTTTTGCAGGAGGCAGACATGGTCGGGAGCGGCCGAGTCGATGAAGCCGGGCAGCTGCTGACAGTAGACCGTCTCAGTCAGGTGGCCGTGAAGAAAGGCGTTCTTCACGTCCAGCTGATGAATCGGCCAGGAGGAAGAAGCGGCGATGCTGAGGACGACACGGATGGTGGCCGGTTTGACAACCGGGCTGAATGTCTCGTCGTAGTCGATGTTGTATTGCTGCGAAAAACCACAGACTACCCACCTGGCTTTATGACGAGCAAGAGAGCCATCAGCACGATACTTGTGCTTAAAGACCCACTTGCCTGTGATGACATTGGCACGCGACGGTCGAGGTACGAGGCGCCAGGTGCCATTGGCCATGAGCGCCTTGTATTCTTCGGTCATCGCCGCCCGCCAATTTGGGTCGGCCAGGGCGGCACGAGAGTTGGCGGGCAGCGGAGAAGCCAGGGGTGACGACGCCGCAGAGTAGCCGTAGCGCCTGATGGGCGGCGGCAAGGAGCCCGTCCGGGATCAAGTCTCCCGTGGTGGAGGGTCTGGTGCCCGCGGCACCTCTGCCTTCGTTGTCTCTGGAGGAGGCGCGGCTGGCGGGATCGGTGCCGAACGACGAGTGTAGACGCGAAGAGGCCGCTGGCCGCCTCCAGGCTATGGCGGCACGGCGGTGGTAGCTGGTGCAGCAGCGCCGGCACCTGCAGACGTGGAGGGTGCCAGGGCCGCGGGTGCAGGGGCGGCCTGCAGGGGCGCCTGAGGGCCGGCTGAAGGAGACGGGCGCTGGCCCTGGGACAGCCGGTAGGCAGCGCCATGCCAAAGAATGGCGGGGTCCAGCCCGACGGGGTCGCCGGCATCTTCCAAGGGTGGCGTGTGCCCAACGTCCGAGGTGGACGGAGCAGGCGCGGGGAGTAAGTCCTGTAACAAAAAATCAAAAGAATCCGGGTGGGGCTTGGAGGCCGCAAACTGAAAGTGAGTCTCATCGAAAACGACGTGGCGTGAGATGATGATCTTGCGATTGGAGAGATCAAGACACCGGTAGCCCTTCTGAGAAGGAGGGTAACCGAGGAAGACACACGCCGCGGAACGAGGAGATAATTTATGACGAGTCGTGGCACTAAGGTTTGGGTAGCAGAGGCAGCCAAAAACCCGAAGGATGGAGTAGTCGGGCATCTTGTGATGGAGGAGATGATATGGGATACCGTTATTTATGGACGAGGATGGCCGCCGGTTGAGCAGGAATACGGCGGTGGAGAGAGCTTCGACCCAATAGGAGGTAGGCATGGCGGCATGAATCAGAAGCGTTCGAACAGCATTGTTCAAAGTGCGAAGCATTCGCTCAGCTTTGCCATTCTGAGCGGATGTGTAGGGGCACGAGGTGCGGAGGAGGATGCCGCGGCTAGCCAGGAAGGTGGCGGTGGCAGTGTTGAGGAACTCGGTGCCATTATCTGCCTAAAAACAGCGCACAGGAAAACTGAACTGTGTGTGAGCGTAAGCAATAAACTGAACAATGTGTTCATGAACGTCGGATTTATGGCGAAGAGGAAATGTCCAACAATAATGTGTATAATCATCAACTATCACAAGATAAAATTTATAGCCAGAAATACTCGAAACTGGAGAGGTCCAGACATCACAATGAACAAGTTCGAAAGGTGCTGATGTACTAGAAACCGAACTAGCAAAAGGCAGCCTAGCATGTTTGCCGAGCTGGCAGGCATGACAGATGCGGCGAGCTGCTTTATTACACTGGATAGCTGATAGCTTATGTAGAGTGTTGACGACGGCGGGGCTGGATGACCAAGGCGGGAGTGCCACAGCTCCGGGGAGACGACGACGACGTGACAACGAGAAGGCATGGGCATGTGATGTGGAATGGTGTAGAGATCCCCGTTGCTATTGCACCGAAGAAGGACCGTCTTGGTCTGGAGATCCTTAACAAAAAAACCAGAGGCGTCAAACTCAACTGAACAGTTATTGTCGCGAGTAAGCTGTCGAATAGATAACTGGTTACGAGTGAGTTGTGGAGCGACAAGAACATTATCAAGATGAAAAGAACGATCAGCTATTTGTATAAAAGATGTGCCACGACTAAGGACAGGAATAGATTGCCCGTTGCCGACCGTAATGGAAGACGGTGGTGACGGGAGACGGGAGAGAAGAATACCATCGTTGGAGGACATGTGGGATGTCGCTCCGCTGTCCATGACCCAAGGGGCAGACCCCTGAACCGCCATCTGATTGAGGGCGGTAATCAGGCCGGTCTGATCCCAAACGCCTGGAGGCCCGTACGCCGGGGAACCGGCCGTGGTGGAGAACTGGGGGGCGCGAAGGCAGTGTGCGCCTGTGGAGGAGGCGCGGGTGGTGCACCCCACTGCTGCTGCTGAGGACCCCACTGCTGCTACTGAGGAGGCCACTGGGCGGCCCAAGGGTTGTAGCAAACCCAAGGACCGGCCGGCTGAGGAGCCTGACGGCCGCCGAAAACGCCTTGTGGCGCGCCATGCTGCTGGTTGCGCCCACCGCCGCTGCTGCTGCCACCGCTGCCATTGCCGCCGCGCCCACCTTTGCCCTTGCCCCCTTGCCTTTGACACTGCCCCCATGGTTGGAGGTCGCAGAAGGGGTGGACCGGCAGGACGGCGACGTGCAGGAGGAGGTGGTGGAGGCGACAAGGGCGGAGGCCGAAGCCTCCACGCCTTCGGTGCGAAGGCGAAGTTCCTTGATGCGGAGCATGTTCGTGTCAGTCTTGAAGTTGGGGAGCGGCGACGTGTTGGTGATGATGTCGGTGGTGGTGGCGAAGCGGGGGTGGATGCCGCGCAGGAGATTGAGCACGAGCTGGGCAGGGGAGATGGCGTGACCAACCTCCCGGAGGGCATCGGCGGTGTGCTTCATCTGCTGGGCGAAGGCGTCGACGGAGAGGTCGCCCTGGGACATGGTGTGGAACTCCTGTCCGAGGACAATAACACGAGACTCCTTGTTTGCCTGAAACAGGGCCTCGATGGAGACGTCTGAGCGCCGCTAGCGTCTTGATCGAGCTCCTCCATGGCGAGATCGAGGGACGGCGTCGTCGACGGAGCCGTACATCCAGCCCACGGATGCAAAAGCGCCAATTTGAGACCACGTGGGGTCAGCCGGGCGCGTGGCCTCCGTGCCATCAATGTGGGCGAGCAGCCCGTACTTGGCGCAGAGGGCGGTGAAGAACGCCTTCCACTTGGAGTAGTTGGGACGCTTGAGGCTGAGGGAGATCGGGACGTGCTGCTTCACGTTGACGGAGGCATAGGCGGCATAGAAGGGAGGAGCAAGAGCATCCCCCCCATAGTGCCGGAGGAGTGGGAGCCAAGGACGCCGGAGGTGGCGGAGGCACCTGACGAGGACGTCATGGCGGCAGCGGCGGCGGGGCGCAGCCTGATCGGATGCGCTGTGGCGGTAGGCGGGCGATCGGAGCAGGCGCGGCAATGGGCCGGAGGCGCTGTGGTGGATCTGGGCGGGCGGGGTTGGAGGCAAGCGCTGCGGCGGGTGACAGTGATGGCGCACGCCCTAGAGCAGGGCGCACGGGCAGAGGAGGAAGCGGAAGACAGGAAAGGAAACCCAAAATTAGGGCCCTGAGACTCGTGATACCATGTAAAGAAACACCGCACACCCTAATCAAGGGGGGTGACCTTCATTATATAGCCTAATAGGCTAGGGTTACAATGTATACAAGACCAATGGGCCATTACGCCCAATATGGGCTGTATGTGTTACAATTATATTCTAACAGTTCCATACTTCATTTCCCCATATAGCTTAGGATTTTGAGCAAACTCATAGATGCATAAGACTTGATATGCTATAAGAGCAAAAGTTCTTGATCTCGAGATTTAGTAAAATCAACGCTAATCTAGAAAATTGCTATGGCCCATTTTTAATATACACCACAGGTAATGGATGATAGGCATGACGGATATTGCTTAAGGATTATTGCCTACTTTTTCTCATTAACTTAAAATGTTTAGGATGCTTATGTGAATGGAAGTCAATATATTTATAAGAACATGTAGAGGTAAGAAATACCGCATCAACTTGAAGTGTTTTATTGTTATGAACTGCTGTTCCAGAAATTCGAATGAGAGCAACGTCATCAGCACAATATGTTTCATCTTTCAGACCCTTCTCTTCTATAAATTTCTTATAACCAGAGCTAGTACCACCCTGCATGATTTGACAAATACACTCTGGTAATTTCTGGAGTAATGTTACAAAACATTTTTCATTTCTATAGAATGCTCCAATATGAGTTCTTTGTAGACCAGCACACATTTATCATTAACTCACTATACATGACATAATCACAGTGAGCATCATACCTTAAGAATAACCATTGGTTGGAAAAGAGCAACAAATTGTGGCGGCTCTTTTCCTTGATAAATACGACCCTACAATAACACAAATAAGATACGAAACTCATCCAGAGGAAATATTTTATGCATAATAAAAAATCCAAAATGTGAATACATTACCAGGACAGGTCTTCCTTTCAAAGAATTCCAAGTTGTATTAGCTATTTGAAAAGCCGCCTCTTGATCTTCCTACGTTAAATAAACAAAGAGTAACTTCATATATATATATATATATATATATATATATATATATATATATATATATATATATATATATATATATATATATATATATATATATATATATATATATATATATATATATCACAGCACAGTTGCATGCGCACTGGGTCCACCATGAACCCATGTATATGTTAAGTACATCAAGGCTCATAGTCATATATTAATTATAGGTCACACAAATGTGTAAGGACCATCATTATTTTAAACAAACGTGTGCAATAATAGCTTTCATGACAAACAGCTTTACAAAAAAAGATTAATAAGAAGGTTTCAGTTGACAATGTGACTATGACAAGCAAAATAATATAAATGCATTCCAATAATGGGGGTTGACGGAAGATGCAAAACAAGAAAGTTCAGTGCACTACATCTTAAGCATGTTTATATTTAAATGACAATTACCTGTACACTATTTTTCCCAATCCAATAAGTTAGATAGAACTCTTCTTTTTTGTCAGCAGAATGATAAGTGTAGAGAACAACATAACAGTCTCCACTGTAGAATTTTCCAAGTTCTTCCTTTGGAAGAGCAGTCTTCACACTGCCATTAATACACCAAACCTGAAATATGCACAGCTTGCTTGTGGTTTCATTTCTACATTGCATTGACTATTGTACTTGGTAGGAAAAAGTGACTAAGTTCAGCAAAACCTCAAGCTTTCCACCGCCATCTAACAAAGGAGGAACTTCATCATTTACTGGCACACTAGTTTTTGTGATTCCTTTGACATCGACACCCTTCTGCTTCAAGAGTGCTGATAAAACATAGATGTTAACAATGAATGACAAAAGGTCAATTGTTTAAATACCAATAAATAAATATTGTACCTGTAACTTTCCCTCGGCCTTCCTCTGTGCTGGCACTCCCTGCCGTGCTACTTACTGGCCATGACTCAAACTTAGACTTGAATGTATGATTCTCATAACCTTGAATCACTTGAGTTATTCTTGTTGTCTTTGGTCTATTTTCTTTAATAATGAATTTCTACAGGAGGTAAATTTTAGATAGGATATATTTTGAACAAGGCAACAAAACAATTAAGTTGGGCTGTAGTTTTACCTCAACTGCCGCACTGGCAGCTTTCCTGTCTTCTACCTGTGTTACCCGACCAACCCACACAAATAGCTCAGCCCCACAGTCAAGTAAAAAGCATTTGGTGTTCTCCAGAATTGATTTTGTAAGAGCAGTGTCTTCTAACTTCAGTTGACCGTTAGCGATACTGCAAATATAACAATTAACAGTACACAATAAAACTACTCGATTATTAAAAATAAAGAAGAGCAGCTGAAGAACAGTGAGGTGAACACATATAGCACACATACACAGGCCAGTCACACCTGAAGATAAAGTAATGGGCTTTGTGAACCAAGCAGAGTCTTGAATTATGCTGCGCAACGGTAAAGTTCTACGACCTATAAGCACTAGCAAACCAACTAACTAATCTGTACTGAATTGCCAAAAAGAATTCATTTGTAATCAGGAAAGGAACTTCTGTAGAAGTGAGCTGTGAATTCAGCAGAACATATTGAATTACTAATTTTGATTCTAGAATTAAAAAAATGTGTTTATCAGAAAGTTGCAAGTGGTGACTGTCACCCATGCACAACTTTAAAAAAATCAGAAGAGTATAAGTGTGTGAATGCTAGAACAGGTATGGTGAGCCAACATAAAAACCAGGCCACTCTTAGGGGTTAAGAATGTTAGCCCCCTGATCTTCGGAACGGGTGAGCCGACCACTCACCGACGTTGACGACCACACATTATGGCTAGAGGTAGAAGAAGAGATTGAAAACAGCGCGCACACACACACTCTGCACAAGCACCAGCGTTGACCGGAGCTTTTCGCTATAGCTCTGAACCAGAGCCGCTCTGAACCAGAGCTCTGTAGTCTGAATGTGGCAATTGAACTGAGTATTCCATTGCCCTTTGGATAGAATATATACAACTTTAGTTGTACCTCTACTAGGTACATAGTTGTTGGCCAACTACATACTCCTTAGTACAGGAGTACACCAACTACCTACTCCTAAGGCATAGGATACACCAACTACCTACTCCTAAGGTACATGATACACCAACTACCTACTCCTAAGGTACATGGTACACCAACTACTCCTAGCAGTATAAAGCTTACCTCGGCCCACTACCACGACATGGCTGATGTAATAGCTGTCAACTAATATACTAGCGGTGGTCTATTGCCATACTGCTACAGCTTCAGGAACTGGTCGGCAGAGCCGAGCAGTCCACAACTCCCAACAGGGAATGGTCGGCTGAGCCAACCAGTCTCCAACCAAGGAGAAATGGGAAGCAGCAGATTATGTCTAACAATTCTTCCCCTGATCCTGCTGCTAGCTTGATGCCTTGACCTCATCCATGACAATCATCTTCCTCAGCTCCATGAACCGCAGGCGTCCGAGTGACTTGGTGAGGATGTCAGCGAGCTGTCTGCCGGTCTCGACAAACTCGATGACGATCTGTCCTCCATCGATGCAGCCCCGGAGGAAGTGAAACTTGATGTCGATGTGCTTGCTCCGGTCGTGGAGGACAGAGTTCTTGGCGAGGGCGATGGTGGGTTGGTTGTCCACCATCAAAGCTGGCGGTGAGCTTCCTCGCCGGTTAGCTCGCCCAGCAGCCGGCGTAGCCAGACAGCCTGGCACGCCGCCGTGGCTGCTGCGACGTACTTCGCCTCACACGTCGCCAGCGCCATCACCTTCTATTTCAGCGACAGCCATAAGATTGGAGCCGATCCGAGGAAGACGAGCACGCCAGAGGTGCTCCGCCGTCCGTCAATGTCCCCCGCCATGTCTGCATCGCTGAACACAGTGAGCTGCGGCCCACTTCCGTCGGTCTTGGGGAAGGCGATCCCCGATTCACCGTCCCCTTGACGTAGCGCAGCAGCCACTTCACTGCAGCCCAATGATCCTCTCGGGGATCCTCCATGAAGCGGCTGACGTAGCCCACGGTGAACGCAATGTGAACTAGGTAGCGTAGACCGCCGACGATGCTCCGGTAGAGTGTTGCATCTACCTTCGCTGCGGTACTGGCCTTCATCAGCTTCAGCCGCTCCTCCATCGGAGTCACGCACGACTTGCACTCAGCCATGCCTCTCCGCTCCAACAGCTTCGAGGCATACGCGCTCTGACCGAGCATGAGCGCCTCCTTCCCTTGTCTCACCTCAATGCCGAGGTAGTAGGAAAGCGCATCGAGATCGCTCATTCGAAAATGAGCCTCTATCTCGTTCTTGAAGCTGTCGATGTCCTCCGCACGCGCACCGGTGATGATCAAGTCATCCACATGCACGCCGACGACGAGCTCCTCCTTCCCCCATTGCCGCGTGTAGAGCGCGTGCTCGGTTGCGCACCGCGTGAACCCAAGCTCGCCCAGCGTGGCGTCAAGCTTGGCATTCCACGCTCGCGGGGCCTGCCGCAACCCGTAGAGCACCTTGCGTAGTCGGAGCACCCTGTGCTTCGCTCCCTTGACCGTGAAACCCAGAGGTTGCCTGAGACTGTCTCCGCCAGCTCGCCGTTGAGGAAGGCCGATTTTCTGTCCCAGTGATGGACGCGCCAGTCCTTCGCTGCTGCCAAAGCCAGCAGCAGTCGGACAGACTCCATGCGCACTACCGGCGCAAAGATTTCCTCGAAGTCGATGCCCTCACGCTGCACGAAGCCGCGGGCAACGAGCCGAGCCTTGTACTTGACAATGGCGCCGTGCTCGTCCTGCTTCACTTTGTAGACCCACTTCAAACCGATCGGCCTGCAGCCCACTGGTGGATCTACCAGCTCCCATGTGCCATTGTCCTCGATGGCCTTCATCACTTCCAACATCGTCCGTCGCCAATTGGCGTCGCATTCAGCCACTGCGAACGTCGGTGGCTCCTCGGCACTAACAAGGAGCAGCTCTAGATCGTCGAGCAGTCGACTCGCTAGGCCTGTGGCCCCTGCATTGCTGATGATGTTGTCCTGTGGAACCGGACCTCCTCACTGTCGTGGAAAGCATCCACGAACTCACTGATGTCGCTCAAAGGGGAGGTGAACTCGATCGGTGGTCCCTTCGGCACTGTTGCTGAAGTGCTTGGCACCCCTCTGCAGTGCTCGGCACCCCTCCCGGAGTGCTCGGCACTACCCTAGGAGTGCTCATCACTACTGCTGAAGTGCTCGGCACTCCCCTCTGCAGTGCTCGGCACCCCTCCCGGAGTGCTCGGCACAGCCCCTAGAGTGCTCGGCATAGCCCTAGGAGTGCTCGGCTCTATTGCTGGAGTGGTCGGCACCTCCTCTCCAGCGTCTCCACCACTGTGGATGACCAAGTGCTCGACGACGAAGGTGCTAGTGAAGCCGCCAGCTTCCCCCGTGTCCAGACTATCCCAGTCCCAGGCCGCCTTCTCATCGAACACCATATCCCTAGAGATCACCACCTTGCCTCTCTTGGGATCATAAAGCCGATAGGCCTTGCTGCCCTCCGTGTAGCCCAGGAGCACCATCGGCATGCTCCTGTCTTCTAGCTTGCCGAGGTGAGGCTTGGTGTTCTTCACATGGCCGACGCAGTCAAATATCCTAAGAAAGGACACATTCGGCTTGCGTCCATGCCAAGCCTCGAATGCCATCTTGCCCTTCAGGGCCTTAGTGGGCGCGCGATTGAGGATAAACACCGCAGTGGTCACCGCCTCTCCCTAGAACTCTGCCGGCATCTTCTTGGCCTTCATCATGGATCGAGCCATGCCAACCACCGTCTGGTTCCGCCACTCCATCATGCCATTCTGTTGTGGCGAGTACGACGCGGTGCGGTATCGCACCATGCCCTGATCCGCGCAGTACGCAGCGAACTCCACCAAAGTGAATTCGCCACCGCGATCAGTCCGCAGCACGCGTAGCTTCTTGCCGTTGTCTGCCTCCGCACGCGCCTTGAGCTTCTTGACCGCTTCCACCATCTCGGTCTTGCTGGTCAGAAGCTGCAGCCACATGTACCAGCTGTAGTCATCCACCAGCAAGATGAAGTACTTGCGCCCGTCGGGCGTCACCGATGTGATCGGCCCGCAGATGTCACCATGGACTAGCTCGAGGGCCTCTGCCGAGCGGTACTTTGCCGTCTTTAGGAATGGCCGCCTTCTTTGCTTCCCGGCCAGGCGTCTATCACACAGCTCGCCTGTGTGCTCGATGTAAGGTAGCCCAGTCACCATCTTCTCCAGCCAACCAAGAGCGTCGAAGCTGAGATGTCCATACCGAGCATGCCACAGCCACGACTCCTTCGTGCGCCGTGCAGCCAAGCAGATGGGCTGCTCCACCTTGAGGTCGAGCAGGTATAGCCAGTTCTGGAACATCTTCACCTTGGCAAGAAGCCGCTGCTCCTGGCCCCTGATCCTGAGGACGCCGTCCTTAATCAGTACCTCACTGTCGCGCTCATCCAACTGGCCAATGCTGATGATGCTTGAACGCAACTGCGGGATGTAATATACATCTGTTAGCACGCGGTGCTCGCCGTTCTGGCACCTGAAGATGATGGTGCCACGCCCTCAGATTGCCATCCTTGAGCCGTCACCAAACTTCACCGTGTCGGTCATGTCGTCGTCAAGCTCGGAGAAGGCTATCTTGGAGCCCGTCATGTGGTTGCTGGCGTCGGAGCCTAGGTACCACCGCTGCTCCTGCTCGCCGTCCACACGTCCGAGGTGGACTTAGGCGCGTGGTTCATCGAGGTTGATAGCCTTCAGAGCCTTCCCAGGCCCTTCCACGACCATCACCTCTCCCTTCTCCTTGGCATCAACGTTGTGCAGTGCACAGAACGTCCCCATTAGGAGAGTGACCTCATCATCATCATTAGCCTACACCAGATGAGCCTCAACCTTCTTCTTCTGCTTGCGATTTGGGCACTCATTTGCCCAATGGCCCGTCTTCCCACGGCGCCGGTAGACGTTGGGGTCGACCTTCTTCTTCTTCTTCTTCTCTAAAGAAGCCTTGCTGCGGTGTTTGCCATCGCCATCGTGGCTGGAGGAGGCTTCTCTGGACTTCCTCTCCTTCATCTGGGCAGCCCACTCCTCTATCAGCAGCAGTTTGCCGCTGTCCGTTGTTGCTGTCGCCTGCTCCAGGCGCTCGTCCACCGCCCGCAACCGACCAGTCACATCCTCAATAGTGAGGGTGGACAGGTCCAGCATTGTCTCTACGGAGAGAGCGATCTGGATGTACTTCATCGGTACGGAATGGAAGTACTTGGAAACCGCCTCTTCTTCGTCGATGGTGACACCGTGACTCCTCAGCTTGCTGATGAGCGTCTGTAGGCGGAGGGAGAAGTCCTCCACCGATTCACCATCCTTGAACTTGAGGTTGGCGTACTTCTGCTTCAGCAGCTGGGCTGTCTCCTTCTTTGCGTGGTCGGAACCGACGCGCATCGCCGCAATGGCCTCCCACGCCTCCTTAGCAGAGCTCTTCGCCCCAAACGGCTCCCTGTACTCCGCTGGCACAACAGCGAGGATAGCCTCCAACGCTGGCATATCGTCTTTTTCATTGTCGGTGCCCTTGTCAACAGCATTCCAGAGCCATCGGGCTCTTAGCTTGACCTTCATGGTCACCGCCCACTCACCATAGTTAGTGTGAGTTAGCGTCGGTCAACTGGTGCCGCTGACCTCCCGCACCGTGCGCACAACGACCTCCTGTCGTGGCTGGGCAGCCACAATAGCGCCGTTGTTGTCGTCCAACTCCAAACTGTCCGTCATCGTCAGCAGTTTGTCCAGCGACGTCGCTTGTACGGCTCTGATACCACTTATTAGCCCTCTGGATCTTCGAAACGGGTGAGCCGACCACTCACCGGCGTTGCCGACCACACACTATGGCTAGAGGTAGAAGAAGAGATTCAGAACAGCGCGCACACACACACACTCTGCACAAGCACTAGCGTTGACCGGAGCTCTTCGCTATAGCTCTGAACCAGAGCTCTGTAGTTTGAATGTGGCAACTGAAGTGAGTATTCCATTGCCCTTTGGATGGAATATATACAACTCTAGTTGTACCTCTACTAGGTACATAGTTGTTGGTCAACTGCCTACTCCTTAGTACATGAGTACATCAACTACCTACTGCTAAGGTACATGGTACACCAACTACCTACTCCTAAGGTACAGGATACGCCAACTACTTCTAGCAGTACAAAGCTTACCTCAGCCCACTATTACGACATGGCTGATGTAATAGCTGCCAACTAATATACTAGAGGTGGCCTATTGTCATACTGCTATAGCTTAAGGAACTTCGAGCAGTCCCCAACTCCCAACAGGGAGTGGTCAGCCGAGCCGACCAATCTCCAACCAAGGAGAAATGGGAAGCAGCAGATTATGTCTAACAAAGAACAAGTGTCGATAATTAAAATCAGAAGATCAAATATAACTAACTGTACACTCACAAAAAGGACATACCTGAAAAGCTTTGGTGGTGTAGTTTCAAGAACAACATCATCATCACTTATTGTTTTTTTCCCTATTGGCGCAAAACCTCCAAAAAGGACCCAGAATTCTCCTGAATCTGATTCTGCTTGCAATTTCCCATCATCTATTGTTAACGCAAAAAAGGTATATAAGTGTGTGAACTTGCTGACGTTTTACATGTATGAAATGAAATTTGTATCATTCTCATCTCACCAACAATTGCAACAGCACACACTCCGTCATGGTATTTCTCCTTTAAATGTTGGATCACTTCCAACGCCTTGGCTCTTTCTTGAATGTTGGAGTTTGCACCATTGAATTGAAATATTTTATTTTCAGTATCCAAGATAAAGACATCATCATGGTTCAATGATGAACGAGCAAAGGGAACCTGAGTAAAGAAGTCATCATTAGGATATTGACTTAAATCGTTCATGAAACATATAGGAAGGAAGCAAGGAGGTGGAACACCAATGCACCTCTTTGACTCTGATAGCTCTCTTCCCTTTGCAAATATATAGCCGTATTTCAAACTTGTCCACTTCTGGCTTCTTAAACCCAGAAGCAAAACCACCCTCCATGGGTATGATGCAGGGTTTAAAATACGAAAGGAATTTATCAGACTCGTAGCATTGTGGTTCCCTGTGCTGTACCGCACGACCCCCGAGCATGCTGTCAAGTTCAACCGTCTTAATCGCGGCAGTTCCAGCTTCATCCTGCGTAGCAACAACAGCAATTTCGAGAACTGGGCATATGAGATGTCATTTGCAGCTAGCATAGAGAAATCTGAGGTGGTGGTACAGAAAATCTACCTGGCTAGAATCTTTGCCGATCCAGAAATGGATGTCAAAAATATAAGCACCTCCTTTACAGGTCGTCTAAAAAAAGGGACAGATGCATTATTAAAAATACAATTTGTGTAGGGAAATAGAATGATGCCTTCTAGTAAAAGGAAGCGTTAAAAGTATTACCTGCAGAACTATATATGAATCTCCACAGTAGAATTTGCCATAATCTGATTTTGGCAAAGCGACTGGCTTGAAATCCTCGATCCTCCATATTTCTGTTCCTCTGTGTTTAAGTTAAGGGCCACATATACCCAACATATATAAAGAGAAAAGAGAAGCCTTGCGTGGAATGAAAAAAAAACAGCTAAAATAAGGTGGCAGCCTGCTTTGAAGTCATCTAAGTAGCAAGGATACGGTTTATGGCCAGCTCCTTGAAATGCAGGCTCAAGCACCACTTTTGCATTCGACATTGTGCAGGAATATATATATATGTTACTTGGACACCACAGAGAGGCTCCCCGCCACCCGACAACAGTCAACAGAACACTAGAAACTCATGTGCTGCAAGAGCGCACAGAAGAAATTTTAAACCATCATCATGAGGAACAAAAGAAACAAAAACTTTCTGATCGCATCGCAATCGCAATCGCAATCACGCATCCACGGCAAGGGCAGATCAACCCAACCGCGGGCTCGTGAGATCCTACAAACTAATCAAGCGCGCGATCGGAACAAGGGAGGGCGGAGGGAAAAGGAAATGCGGAACCGTGGGGGATCATATCAGGAGGCCGTCCATCGAGCTAGCGGTACCTGCTGCTAGATGCGTAACGCCGATCGCCGATCGATCGATGGAAGCCTCGAGCCAGAGAGGGGGGCGGAGGTGGCAGGAGAGAAGCGACGGGAAGGGGACGATCTCGCTGTGTCTCCGAACCGACGTAGGAATGGAACGGATTGGATGGATGGGTGGATGTCACTACGCGACGCCGCGGTTTTTGCGGTTGCCTGATTTTAGAATGGCCCCCTATTTATACGCAGCGACGGACGGATGGTCGGTATCGGTAGGAAACTAGGAGAGGGGCGATCGAAACAGGCTACCATGCACGGACCACGCACCTACGCCGGCCGGCCGGGGCAGCACTAGTGGCATTGCTATGCTCGGCCAGAGGTACGGCCGCCGGTGACTGACAAGATTCTTGTAGCGCCGCATGGTGATGACTGATGAGAGCTAGGCCGGCCATCAGGGTCCAGTGGTCCGCATGATGCGGCCGATAATTGCGAGCTTTCGGTCGAGATGCATGGGAAGCTGCAGTGATCGCGAGCGTGATGCACACAGCACAACACGCACTCATATCATTTCATCGACTATACAGTCGTAACAACGTACGGGTTCACGCACACGGTGCGCCACCTCCTACGCTTCCCCACCGCTGCCCATCATCCAGCTAGACTCTGAACATGGGCTGTCCTACCCGGCCAGGCCCAATCAGTGCACCAGGGAGAGAGCCTTGAGCACCATGATGCTACGGTCACGCGCTACATGCAAAACATCAAACATCTATCTATAATCGTCTAGGGGATGTATTTAGCCTGACTCTCAAGAAATATGCAAAAGGTTATCTGGCCTATATCGGTTCCCATGTTAGGTCAGAATATCCTAGTATGGAATGTGCGCGCACGGCTATCCAGGAGGGGGAGGAGCGGGCAGTTGCCGGGTTTGTCCCGCTAGCGGTCCTTGCTGACATTTGGTCGCAAAATTCGAGTTTCATGTAACAACCATCAGAGATCCAGTAGGCTAGGTTGCTGTGTTTAGCCATGTTTGGGGGCGTCTCGCCGTCATCATGCTCCTTGTATTGTTTTCAAAAACTTCTTCCCTCTTAATGAAAAATAGGTGAAACCCCGCTCGCGAAAAAAGCTAAGTTCATGTTGTCGAATGCATAACAAGAAAGTAATCATAGTTTCATTTTCATAAAACCATCATATATAGTCCCCTTGCATTAACTATGGCTCTGTTCGGCTGCCATTATAAACCCTGGCTTATCAGCCATTGTATAGTATTTTTCTATCCTAATAAATCAGCCGTACAAATCAGCACAAACGGCTTATAGACCCGCCGAACAGAACCTATGATGTCAGCGGGAGGCCAAGTGGTATGCATATCCGAGATGCATGGACACTTGAATCAATCTACATCCTGCATGGTAAAACCAGAACATAACACATGCACCCCAAAATGGTCATACTAAGGATGTCAACATGGATGCACCTGCCGGGTATCGCTAGAATGTTCTCATTCCCACCTCACAAAAATTGTCCCGTCTCTATCCTCGTCCCCGACCAGGCTGGGGATAGCATACCCGATGGGTACACATACCCAAGTACAATTTGTGATCAGGGAAAGCACACCTAATGGGTATCCATACCAATTATAGTTTACGTGCAGAACTTCAAATGTATAGAGATTAGAGGTGCAAAATGAACATGAATTAGAAGAAATGCAAGGCCATATCATTAGATAATATCACATCAACATAATTCCATGGATGGAACAAGTCTCCATATATAGCATCATAGATTCAATAGTTTGATAAGCATAACTCCATAAGGACTTAACAAACAAGAAGTTTGCAACGATCTAACAACTACAAGTTCGACGACTAGTAGACTACTAGATGTCCAGAACTCCAGATTCACTGACCAAGTGACCATCCATCAGCATCACAATATAGACATAGACATAGACATAGCCTCGGGCTCAAAGTAGCCATATTCCATCAAGTTTTAAGCGACACAACAAAAAAGCAGTGTCATCACACATTAGTGTCATTACAAACAGAGTGCTACATAAACATTTAATGGTTGAATTGTGTGAGCACCAGGGGCGAAGCTGCATATAGTGTGGGGGTGCCAATGCACCCACGGAAAAATCGAAATTAAGTGCTAAATCATCTCAATTTACCACTTGTGCACCCCCCACACGCCACGACGCAACATGAAAGTGTGAAAGCTTGAGCAAACCAATACTAATCCATTGATCAACCTAGCACCAATAAATAAACCCGAGCATGCAAGGATCAAGAGCAGACCAACCGCGCGTTCGGCTGGCTGGCCGCGTTCGGCTGGGCTGGCCAGCGCTCTCAGAAAATGTTTGAGCCGGAACAGTATTTCCCCCTCACAACAATCAGCCGGAACAATATTTTGGCTTATTTTTTAGTCCTGTCGAACAAGCCTCAAGTCCTGCATGTGTGACGTAGTGAGGTCTATGACCAGGAGCCAATGATTCATGGGCTAATCGAACAGTATATTATTATTGTATATATCCGTTGATGCTGCCTCCGACACCCTCTCATCATTCCTTGGTTGCACAAACTAAGTACTACTCTTTGTTTCTATACTTCGATTATTCTTGACATTTCTTCCAAACAAAACATCTAAATTTGCAATAATTGCTTGCTTGCTAATTGTCTATCTGTAGTAGGAATATATATAAATAGATGTTTAGATTTTTATCAGGAGATTTTTTCAGTTAGGGTATAGACAGGCTAGATGCCAACCCTAATATATAATATATATTTATCGATTTTGTATAGCTCTCTCTATTTTTATATATAATTTTCTAGAACCATATATATTACCTTAGAAAAATCAAATTTTACCATGTAAATATTGCATATCAAGATTAAGGCCTGGTTTGGTGGAGCTCCAGTCAGCTCCCCTATACATTGTAGTAAGGAACCGCTTTTATCTCTTTTCTTGAAATAAATAGGAGCCAATAAAGCTATTATTTTTAGCTTCACAACTAACACCTCCATGTATTGTAGTAAGGAGCCACAACTATTTGGAGCTGTGCCGAATGAAGTCTAAATCTGGAATCTTGTCGAACAGAGTCTAAAGGGTGTGTTTGGTTTCTTTGGCAAATCTTGCCTGACCTTACCAAGCGATAAACTGATGTTAGATGGTGTTCGATGGCTACACACTCTCGGAGGCATCAATAACCTCACCAGTCTCCGGGTTGCTTTTGGTCATGCTCAATATGATGTTTCCCGTCGATTACACGACGTTCTTGATGTTCTCCTATTGGAGTCCTCCTCGTCCTCTTTGCCTCCAGTGGGGAGCGTGTTCTTGTACCTAGTGGAGCCACCACAACTCTTGGGGATGAGGAAGGACGACCCATGATCGTTGGGCACGAGGAAGGACCCGCCAAAGCTCTCTTGCTTGCTGGTGGCGTCGAGCTACTTGACTGTGAAGAGGAACAACACACGCTCGCCTCCTGAGAACTACACACTGACTACGACGTAGTCAACGGTGTTGTGGAGTAAGCTCAAGTTAGTGGGCGAGTGACATCGCGCTGCGCGCTTAAGCCGACAAGCATAGTGACTTCACGATGTAGGCCCTGACTGATGGGTGGATGGCGGAATAGGGGTGCAAGGCCCGCGACTACCATTGTAGGGTAGGCGCGACGCGTGGCCAGGCCAACGGGCGTGACAACTTTAAGGTAGACCCTTGCCGACCAGCGGGCAAGAGCACACAAGCTCAAGAGGCGTCAAGGCGGTGACACTTGTAGCCTAGAGGAAAAGAGCGACCGATGGTCGCAAGTGTGTGGAAGGACAGGCTTGGGAGGGGCAAGAGGAGCTAGAGGAGGAGGGGATCAGATAAGGCGAAAAAAATCTAGTTATGGAGAGAGAAAAAATAGATTTATGGTGAAACCAAAAAGTATGGTGGAATTCTATGTTTTAACATTTGAATCTTTCAAATATTATGAAGACGGTTTATTCGGACATTTTGTGATTCTAATTATATATATGATATTATATGATCTTTTAGTGCTACATAATTGATTTTTCCTAAATGAAATTAGGACTTAATAACAAGGAAAACTATCTAATGCACAGAGCTGATCGTTTCAGCATTTCAATTGCTTCAAGCCTGCAACTTTTTTCTTTTCGAAAACCTCCAAGCCTCCAACTCATAAAAACACTTCCAAGTACAAGTACGAAACAGACCGAGAAAATTCCAAAATTGGTTCTCCTTGGCCGGGCTCATCCAAATGGAAGAAGGTTCAAGTCCTGATGGCCCCCCGATAACAACAACATCAGCTGCGTTCGGCAGGCGGTCCAAATCGCCGCCGCTCCGCTCCATCATCCACGCGCGAATTATCTATCCCTTCCGATTAGTTAATCTCCGTGCCGCGATCGTCACGGATTCCTTCTTCCTCGTTCCTGCTCAGCGGTCAGCGGCTGCAGACTGAAGTGATCGGCTACTTCTGCGCGCGCGCGAGCATCACCGACACCACCAAGCAGTAGCAACCGGGGTGGACTGAGCGCGGTCCCCAAGTAACACGGGCTGGAATTCCGCCATGAGGCCCTCGCCGCCGCGGCGCCTCCCCCTGGCACCCTTCCTCCTGCTGCTCACGCTCCTCTCGCCGCCTCGAGCGGCGGCGGCGGCGGGCGGCCCATCCGCGTGGGTGGCGCTCCGCGGGGCGGCGGGCAGCCGAAAGGCGTCTCCGGCGGAGCAGGAAGCGGCGGCCGCGGGGCTGCTCCGCCGGCTGCTCCCTTCCCACGCGGGCAGCTTCAGCTTCCGGATCGACTCCAAGGTTTGAGCATCCTAGTGCGGCTACTTCCTGGTTCCTCCCCCGCTTGTTTCGGGGCAGCATTGGTTGACTTCCCTGTGTGTGTCCGTTTTGCTTGCTGTGCTCGCTCCAGGGCGGCGTCTGCGGTCAATCAAGCTGCTTCAGGATAAGCAACGTTATTGACGGCTCGGGCAAAGGTGGAGCGGAGATTCTGTATGTTCCTCTTTTTCCCTCGTACTTGCCATGATGCCATAAACTTTGGCCGCGTAGTCTTGAAATGATCCATCTGAGGGCTGAGGCTGTGCTTTGTCGCTTGCTTCACCGCTGTATGGTGCGTTGATGAGGTTTTGGTTTACATATAAATAGTCAAACATGGTGATGAAGTCGCTCATTCCTGTTCTAGATTTTGCTCTCGTATGATCGCTCCTCATTAAGTTGGTGCATTGGTTTGCTTATAAAATCCAAAAAGTAGTCCTGCTCTTGGGTTCCTTAATTGAGCATTGAGAATTCATGTAATGCAAGAACTGCCAAAATTGTACATTTGTTGTGGCTCCATCGTGAAGTTGAATGCAATCACCACTTCGTGTTTATGCTATACAGGATCCAGGGAACCACAGGTGTTGAGCTTGCATCTGGCCTACATTGGTATTTGAAATACTGGTGTGGCGCACATATCTCCTGGGACAAGACTGGGGGTGCCCAGCTGGCATCGATTCCTTCTCCTGGATCTCTGCCACGGGTGCAGGGCAAGGGAGTCAAGATTGAGCGTCCTGTTCCATGGAATTACTATCAGAATGTCGTCACTTCTAGCTGTGAGTCCTTTGTTGCCTTAAACATTTGTTTTCATAATCTTTGTTTGATTCCATATCTATTCATTTCTTGATTTCGTCAGCGTCAACCTCCTTGTCCCTCGCAGTACGGCAATAGTGAGTACTTTACTTTCTAGGTGTGTGGCAGATATAAGGGCATGATGTGGTCTTGGAAATATGATTCTTGCCATATTTTCTACTGATGCAGTACCAATCTACTAGTACTTCTATTGCAAATGAAGAACTAATGTTTCAGCATTTGTTCTCCTACACCCTAATCCTACAGATTTCATTGTATCATTTTTGTCTCTGTTGACTGGCCCCTTCCATACTTCTAACTTTGTCCAACTGGATTTATTTATAACTTCTAATTTCGAAAGAAGTGACTCTGAAGCTTCCCACTATCTAAGTGGATTCCAACATTTTTTCTCTGACAAAATTAATGTAGCATTCTATAGACTCCTATGTGTGGTGGGACTGGAAAAGATGGGAGAAAGAAATTGACTGGATGGCACTTCAAGGAATTAACTTGCCTTTAGCATTTACTGGACAGGAATCTATCTGGCAGAAGGTTTTTAAGGTAGTGTGACAGACACATCTACAACTCTGAAATGTTCTATCAAAGTTGCACCTTATATTTTTTTTAAAACATATTTCCATTAGTTTTTACAGTTCTGTAGTACTTCAAGTTATTGAGAACAATTTGATTGATGGTGGGTCATATGTTTAGGCTGAGCAGAATCTTGGCCAGTGTAACAACTACTACTATTCAGGCTGCACAGCCTTGCCCATTCGTGGCCACTAGGTTATCTCAGCAAGTTGACCTAGAGTGTTTTCCCTTATCAGCAGTAATTGATCATATTAGTACAATAAATTTGCGTTTTATTCTAAAAAACTAGAATCAATACGATGAAATAGTAGAATAGACACAAGCAGACAAGTATTTAACCCAATTTATTAGTTCTTTATGTGTCAAACTTTTGAGACCATGGATAATAACTTTGCAACTACATAATTACACGTGTTCGAGAAAAACAACATATTTTATACATCTACTATTATCTCAACACTCAAACAATTCAAAAAAACTTACATGGATTGAAGACTTGCAGTTATTAGAAAATTGCATCGCTGATACATGTTTAGATGTGTAGTATAGTGTGTATTTTCCCTCTCCTAGAGGGGAGTTTCTGCTTAGGTTACATGTGCATCTATCGCCACTGGGCATGGGAATATATCTGAGTTTCATATTCCGGTTCTTTTTTTGTAACTGCTTTTTCTTGTCCCTGCGTCATTTTGAACTTATGTTGTGTTTTGAGTTTCTTTTCAACCTCCTGTTGCCATGGGGACCTTGTTAATTATTGCATTTTATTTCAGAGTTTTAATGTTACCGACAGAGATTTAGATGATTTTTTCGGTGGACCAGCTTTCCTGGCTTGGGCTAGAATGGGGAACTTGCATGGGTAAGTAAACAGTTCTCCTGCGTGTTCGGGAAAAAAACTGTATAAAATAGACGAGGCTACATTCTCTGATATAGGTGTTTGTTTATTAGATCAGATAGCATGATGAATTACCTTATGCTTAAAAAATAAGGAGCCATATTCTTGTTTAAAAGTGTCGAAGATGTATCTTTAGGAGGTGTTCACTGTTTGGGATTTTGGTAGTGGAACTCTGTGTTTTGCTGCATTGAATACAGATTATTAAAAGTTTCTCTTCCTGCTTGTTTCTCTCTGCATATCATTGTTCCCATTTCATGTGACCAAAGATTCATTCTAACTTAATTATAGCATTGACCACAACATTGCAGTTGTTTTATAGTACTTAACTAGTTAACTTTGTATGATATTAAGACTTTTTGGAGATGATCATTTGTACATATCTGACATAAAAAGTAATGAATTTATAATTCTTCAATTTCTTTAGCTGGGGTGGACCACTGTCACAAAACTGGTTGGATCAACAATTGGCATTGCAGAAGAAAATACTATCCCGGATGATTGAGCTTGGGATGGTCCCTGGTACGCTTTTGTTTTATTTTCCAAAAGTACTATTCTTCAATCTTTAACATACGCCATTGCATTTATACCACCTTTCCATCCTTTTTTAGCAATGTGTTTTTTACATGAAGTCAAAAGATCAATGGATATTCTATTACTACAGTGGGTTAAATGCTGTTTCAAGTTATACTTATGACGCACTACTACTTTACAGTTCTTCCATCGTTCTCAGGAAATGTTCCAGCTGTTTTCGCAAAATTATTTCCATCAGCCAACATTACCCGGCTTGGTGATTGGTAACATACTTTCTTATATCGTTTGTACCAATATCTTCTGAAAATTTGTGCTAGCTTAGGCAGTAGTTATGGTGACCAAGTCCAAACTCACTGGTGATTGTATTCATAATGCCTCTTGAAATGTAACTTCCGTGAAGTCCTAGGACTGTAGGACATCTGGAAGAATGTAATTAACAAGAAGGTTTCAGACTCACTCTTCTTAACGTGCAATAGTTACAAACATTTTATAGTTAGTGGGTTAACATTATATAGGGCACAAGCACGGTTGCCAACCAACAACTTATTTGTAAGGGCAATATATGCATACATGACCTGATAGCTTTACGTGATATGTTTTTATATCCTCATTTTTCAAGGAAAAAAGTGCAGTTTTGACTCAACTTCTTCGCACTAGACTGTAGAAGTCTTAAGGAAAAATTTGCTACAGGACATATAAACTGATGTCGAGCTGCCTGCGGCAGAAAAGTGCTACATGCTGGCAGTCACTGTTGATGTGAGAATTTGCTAGAAGACACCGCCCATTAAAATAATAATTTCCAACCCTAGAGGAGATGGTGTCTTCCAGCAAATTATCACATTGCCAGAGTGACTGACAGCATTTATCACTTTTTTATATGTCTGCAGGCTGCTCGACATCAGTTTATGTGTCCTGTAGCGAATTTTGCCAAGTCTTAAACATATCAAGTCTGTGTACTGCCAATGCTTATGTGCCTGATTTCAACATGAAAGTATCAGTTGATTAGCATTTCATGTTTTCAGTTATAGAACTTCTTACTAAAAATATCTTATGTTGTTTTGATTTTCTACGTGATATTTTCTACTTCAGGAATACAGTTGATGCTAATCCTAAGTGGTGCTGCACTTATCTTCTTGATCCTTCTGATTCATTGTTTATAGATGTGGGGCAGGCTTTTATCAGGCAACAGATAAAAGGTATATACCTGCCTTTTTTTGTGCAAGATATGATCATAGGAAACTTGAATTTGTTCTGAAGTTTCTGGATCAAATAAATCAATTAATAAGAATGCACTTTTGATGTATGTTTTTGTGATCTTTATATAAGGTTTCATATTCTTTCTTTTTTGAATTTTTCTGGATGTTTGCAGAGTACGGCGATGTAACCAACATCTATAACTGGTAATGCCTACTAATCTACTTCTTTGAAATGTCGCCTCAATGCATTCTGTGATTGCGCTGTGTATCCTTTGCATGTTGGGTCACAACACTTGGCTGTTGTATGCTTAGTGGGAATGGTTTATCTTTCCTTGTCAGTTATGGAGATGATCCGTTGATTGTTAACAAAGAATATGTTCAAGAACATTTTGACTCTTGGTTGCTGGAAACTTTAAGAACAGTTCGACATTATAAGATATTTCATACCAGTTTAGTTTTGTAGAAAGGGATACACCTTAAATGTTTTTTTTCTCGAACACGCAGGAGAGCTGCGTATCATTATATTAAAAAACTCGACCTGCAGGGGGTAAGACAGCCCCCGGGCATTGCATTAAGAAGACAACCTTCTCACGCAGGTCGAGAAAACCCCCAAACCCCTGCCCACCCATACACAATGGCACCGTAGCCCATGTTAGAACGACCACGACCGGGCCGGGCCTTACACCTATGCTTTGGCATGGGACAGACGAGGGGATTTTTTTTAACCCCAGCCTGAAAATTCGCTCCCACGGGGAGTCGAACTCAGGACCCGAGGAGTGCTACTCAAGCCACCTAACAACTCAGCTAGAGGCCCTTGGAAAAAAAACAGTGACACCTTAATACTCACAGATACACCTTAAATGTTGAAAATATAAAGGGAAAATCTCAACAATCCACCTGCATGGTTGTTCCTAAGTTGTAAACAATGAAGCAAATGCTTTAGATTTGGAAGACGTCTCAGGAGAATGCCCACTATATCCTGATGGGTCCAGATATTGTATGTTTTTTCTCATGGGTCATGACGAACTGTAGATGAAACGAATGCTTTGATGAACAAGTTAAGAATATAGGGACACGATGATATATGAAAATAGAAACGTATTGGGAGACATCCATTTAATATGCATATTAGAAACGAATACGCATACATATATCCATATTATATGTTTTAATGGACACGGATTCAGATAATTCGGGTTTTTAAACATCCATTTCCACCCCCTAGTGATTAGGATGATTGATGTTGAGTCATTATAGGCAAGGATCACAATTGATTGGTTCTGTTTATATAATCCATACCCTAGGTCATCCTTGCCTATATATATGTAACCTTTCACCCTACATAATCAATCTATCAATTCTGTGCCATATTCTTGCTTACAGATACATATCGTCCTATTTAAGGTATTGATAGTGGATAGTTAAAAATTCTTGATTTATTGGTCATGCATTATGTCATTCTGCTCATGTCATCGGCTAGTGGCTTAGCATCTTTTGGGCATCCTGTCCTGTGTATATTCGTGTGCTCACTTGCTGTTTCTACTTTCTACATCATGTACACATTGCACATTTTACAGTTATGGTTGTTACTTTCAGTGACACATTCAATGAGAATACCCCACCAACAGATGAACCAGCATATATTTCATCACTTGGTTCTGCTATCTATGAAGCAATGTCCCGAGGTAACAAGAATGCAGTGTGGTTAATGCAGGTGTGCTCACTCTTCTTTTACCTCTGAAATGTAAAAACATTCTGCATGTCATCATTTTCTGTCGTGATAGCATCCATATATCCTCTAGACGGTAGTAACTTGTCCAGTTAACAAGATGGAGCACAGAGTACAATATAAAGAAATACACCATACGATCAAACATTGTCCATAGGAAGTACAATATATGAGCTACTATTATTTATAGTGGCTCATTCCTTGTTCTTTTTTAAAAAAAAATTTATGTATCAAGTCTTACATGGTGTCTTTGAATAGAGAAAAATCTTGCATTTTCTTTATCAGACATCATTATATGAACACATAATTGGAAATCTTTAACTTTACTTTGTGCTTATTAATGCAGGGTTGGTTATTCTACTCAGATGCTGCATTCTGGAAGGAGCCACAAATGAAAGTAAGCTCAAGTCTTGTCTTCATTGAGTTTCACTTTGAACAGTCAAATAAATGTGATAACTCATAGAATTATAATGAAGGTTAATGCATATGTTCTTTGTCCTTTTAACACCTATTTACAAATAGGTTAACCTGCCCCTTTTAACTTTCAGGCACTACTTCACTCTGTTCCAATTGGTAAGATGATAGTTCTCGATTTATTTGCTGATGTGAAGCCCATTTGGAAAATGTCCTCTCAGTTCTACGGCGTACCATACATCTGGTATGTCATGTTTTAGCAACCCATCCCATCCTGTAATTCCAGACCATTATTTTTGTATTCTCATTGTCAATTTAAAATATGAATATAATTCCTGATTTTCAACCATATTTACTGATTTTTTTGCTCAATCTAGGTGCATGTTACACAACTTTGGTGGGAACATTGAAATGTATGGCATACTTGATTCAGTTTCATCTGGCCCCATTGATGCCCGTACAAGTTACAATTCAACAATGGTAAGTGCAAATTTTGTCCTATGGAGCAAACATTTCATTTTCATGTGTGAGTTGAAAATCTTTGCCGTCTGCTGTTTCAATGTTGAAGTGAATCAATCCCTCCCTCCCTCTCTCTCTCTCTTGCTGGAGTTCTGTGCTCCAGTGGCAGAGATAAAGCCAGGCCAAAGGGGGCCATGACCCCTCTTCATTCTTTAAATTTCTTAAGGAATCACCTCATCCTGGGTAACAACAGAGCATGGTTTACATAGCTTGGCCTCCTGTACATCTACCATCATGCTCCATCGCTTCTGTGCTTGTTGTTCTTCTTGATTGATCGTTCATCTTTATGATATGCATGTGTTTCAGAAGTGATGTATTTTCAGTGCTGTATCTAATCCAACTACTTATTCAGTGTTTGACTCTTGCTCTTCTCTAGATTGGTGTTGGCATGTGCATGGAGGGAATAGAGCACAATCCAGTTGTTTATGAACTTATGTCTGAAATGGCATTTCATAATAAGAATGTTGAGGTTGAGGTAAATAGTACAAATGTAAACCTAGCCTTTACGAATTATGATTTACTGCTATTCTTATTTCTTCGTTTTGGAACTATTACAGTTGTATAGACTCTATAGAGTATGAGGTCCCATTGTAGACATAGTTTGCACTTTATATATACATAATTATAGGGTACGTTCTATTCATGCACCACTGCATAAATTTTAAATATTTATGATAACCAATCTAGTCAAAAGATAACAACTGCTGAAAGTTCTTCTTTCCCTTCATGTGATTTCAGTGAGATCCAGATTAATTGAAGTTTTCTGTCTTGAGTTAAATGTTGACCTGTGCATCAAAGAAGGATTGCCAAAAATACCAAACTTTGTAATTTGTGTAGTTTCTTGGTAGATATGCTTTGTGCGACCTTGTTTACATGAGGTGAATGAAGTACAAACTGTGCTACAGATAGTATTTGTCTCTTTCCTTCAGCAGCAGACTTGATATGGCTATTGTTTTATAATCGTCTAACATCTTGACCGCAGGTTTTGCTTTGATAGGTTGATTACCATCTAACATTTGTCCATAACCTTCCAGGATTGGTTAAAAACATACTCCTATAGGAGATATGGTCAAGCAAATGCTGAAATAGAGAAAGCTTGGAGATATTTGTATCATACAATATACAATTGCACTGATGGAATTGCGGTGTGATTTCAAACGAGCTCCTTTGTTGCAACTATCCAGAGCCTGTCCCTAGAATAATATATCCTTTCATATTTTGGTTGCAGGATCATAATAAAGACTATATAGTTGAATTTCCAGACATAAGTCCCAGCTCAGTTAGTTCTCAGCTTTCTAAACGAAGGGGTATGTCAATTATGAGAAACCATAGGAGGTTTTTCTTAAGTGAGGTGTCTGGAAGCCTACCACATCCGCATCTATGGTATTCTACGAAGGAGGCCATCAAAGCCCTTGAACTATTTCTTGATGCAGGAAGCGTATTTTCAAAAAGTCTCACATATAGGTACAATATGCAACTTTCTTTTAAGTCTTGAGATTAGTCTGTTCTTATTTTCAGCTATTGCCAGCCAACTCTATTCCTGCAGTTACAGTTGTCAATGATTTAAGTGCCAAATCAGGGTACCAAGTGAACACTAATTTTTTTCTTTGTTTTCTGGTCTAATGAGTAAAACTAATTATGCTTCTTAGGAATGTCTTTTTGCTTTAACTGATTATTACTGCTGGGTGATAACTTTTACCTCAGGTATGACCTTGTCGACCTAACTAGGCAGTGCCTATCCAAACTAGCAAATGAAGTGTATCTTGATGCTCTGAGTTCGTACCAAAAGAAAGATTCAAATGGCCTGAATTCTCACACGAGGAAATTTCTTGAGATCATCGTGGATATTGATACACTACTAGCTGCTGATGATAACTTTCTGCTGGGCCCCTGGCTGGAAAGTGCAAAAAGCCTTGCTATAACTGAAAAGGAACGCCAGCAGGTATGTTACACATGCATTCTTCATCTAATATCTGGACCCTAGACAATCCCCCCCCCTTTGTTATTGAGGACTGAATTGAACTTTTTTTACCAGTACGAATGGAACGCCAGAACACAGGTGACGATGTGGTATGACAACACAGAGACCGAGCAGAGTAAACTGCATGACTACGGTAATGCCTAGTAGTACAATAGTTTGTTAGTTGATACCTACTAGTTATATGGTTCAGCTTTGCGTTACTAATGTTCTTCTCCATAAACACCAAATTACCAGCCAATAAGTTTTGGAGCGGGCTGCTGAAGAGCTATTACCTTCCAAGGGCATCAAAATACTTCGCCTACTTAACAAGGAGCCTGCAAGAGAACCAGAGCTTCCAGCTGGAGGAGTGGAGGAAGGATTGGATCTCATATTCCAACGAGTGGCAGTCCGGGAACGAGGTGTACGCCGTGAAGGCCACGGGTGATGCTTTGGCCATTGCCAGGTCACTGTACAGAAAATACTTGAGGTGACAGGGCCTTGGAATCTTTGTTGCCGGGGAGTAATAATGCACGGATGTGACAAGTGGACATGAATTGATTGTCTGTGTAATTGTGTTCTTCAGCAAGTTACCTGTTAAAACAGGAGTAGATGCACTCGTGCCATGCCCTTCGCAAATTGCAACGGATGCTACGAAGGCAGATGCATATGTTAGCATCAGGGGTCGTCCACTCGCCGCCATACAGTAGGAGGGTCTGGGAACTGGGAAGTCAGAAGGGCCTAGTGTGCACGCTCGCGCAGATGGATTGGTGAAGTGCGAGCACTTGCTACTCGGGCATGGGTACAAATGCAAATCGGAGACATTAAGGCTTTTAGTTTAGAAAAAGCTAAGAAATTTTAAGCAAATCTGGTGGTCATCGTTGTATAAGGAATTTAAACATACGTGCAATGCATAAGTACGTGTACGTCTTCAGAAAGATGGTAGCGCAGAGGATGGAACATAACATATGAGAAGTTGGAGGGGTGATATGTGAAATATTTGTCTTCCATGGTCACGTGATGTAGAGCGGATACCCTCGGCATTGCTTTCTTGAGCGCTTGTACATGGATTTGGATTTTTCTCATTCTCCTCGTTCTCTCCTTTTAGTTTACTAGAAAACCGCTCAGCACGCTGCTTGGGTCCGAGCGCTCGGACCTGAAGATTGGCGGGAGTTCAGCATCGTCCGGTGGCAGCTGTCCTGGCCAGCTGTTGCTGCTGCCTGAGAGCTGAAGGCCGAGTAAACAGAGTGCCTTTTGCATTGCAGTTGGCAATTTTTGAGACTTGCACTGCACACTGCAGGCATACTCTGCAGAGAGATGCAGAATACTCCTACGGCTGTATTATGAACATCGCTCACAAGGTTCAGGGACTCGGCTTTACTTTTCTTTTTTATAAACGTATAGTTTTTTTTAATGTAACTCATTTTACTTGGAACAAAAAAAAAGAGATCATAACAACCGTGAACTTTCTGCGAATCAAGTAGCAAGAACCGCCATGACTCAACAATAATGCACATCGCAGATTCACGTACAGTCAGAGATGAAGAAGCAACCTACAGGAAGTAAAATGTAGCAAAAGCCTTGCTCTATGAATGGTAAAAACGAGCAAGAGATCCGCCTCTTTTAAATTGAGAACATTGTTGAGCAAAATAACAGCTGTCAACAGGAATATTTTGCTCAAATTTACTTGAAATGCAGCACGGCGATAAGAAAAAGAGAAACTTGCTTGCTCCATTAATGGCAGAAACGAGCAGGAAATATGCCCCTTCTAAATTGAGAGTAATGTTGAGCAAAAAGACAGCTGTCGGGAGGAATATTTTGGTCAAACGTCCTTCAAATGCAGCACAGCGAAAACAAAAGGAAAAGCTTGTTCTATTAATGGCAACATCGACAAGGAGACTGCCCTTTTAACTCAGAGCAAGGATTGACAAATTGCCTTCAAATGAAAAAAAAAAGAGCCTGTCAGACAACCTATGGGCCACCCCAGCCAAGCAAGCCTGACCAGGAACGATCCTCTACGGCACCAGACATAGCATCTAAGCTAAATCTTGGCCGTTAATCACGCTCTGACCCAGAGGTCATGACTCATCAACCAGGCTTAAGTGCTTGCCTCCTTATTAGTCAAGGATGCAGCGGTACGATCCTATAGAACAGATCCTGTTCAAGTAAGGTCGTGATGTGTGGCTACAGAACTGAGCTTTTAAGTTAGCTTTCAGTCGTCTGAGCAAGCAAGGTGGTGTTAATCTGTGGGACTGGCCAGCAATCCCAAACATATTACGTATTGGACCGCTCCATTCTGGTATATGCTCTCCTTTGTATGGGCTTCAGGTCGAGCCCATCGAGCCTGCACTCGAGCAGGAGCTGCCTACTAGTATCTCGATCGACAACCGCGGACACGCATGGCGGGCCTCTCGTCAGGCTTTTCTTGGACGCATGCAGAGGAGGCGGACCTGAAGAATGCACCTGCGCAGTTGAGCAAGCTCGGGCTTGGCAATGGCAGGCGCCGGTGCAACCGCCGGATCGAGGAGGGCCGTGACGCCGCTGCGGTCGATCCACAGTCGCCAGGCCTGCGAGAAATTGTTGGCAGGATGTCAGTAAATGAATGTATATATCACAATATCACATATGTTGTTTAGTTACAGTATTTAGCGGTTCACCTCCCAAACAGCAGCACTAATTGCAGAGAACGAATCGAAATCAAGGTGAAATTGAAGACTGAAAGCCTATAGGTAATTTAATATGCAATCTTGCTTACTTAGACGAGGCTTGGCCTGTCACAGTTCCTTCGTCTGCTCAGTGTCTCCAACAAAGTGAGCCCGAAGCTGTGGACATCGCACTTCAACGTTGTCTCGCCACCGTCGCTCTGAAGGTACTCTGGAGTCTGGAGCCATGTATCCACTTTGTACCGTAAATTCAGGAACAGGGTGAGTTCCCATGTAAAAAAAAAGATTATGAAAACAATAATGATGGCCCACGGGCGTTCGTCCGGCCCGGATGCGGCTCAGAAAACCAACACGCATGCACAGGGGTGCTATCCGAAAATTCCCCAAATTGATCTCGAGCCAGCCCATCCGTTTGCCTGCCTCTCTCCACTTACGCTTCCTCTCCCTCCCTCCAGCTCCACTGTCCCCGCTCCGCTCAACCTCGGTGTGCGGTGATCGTTGCGTTTCGGTCCAGCGGAAGGACACCATGTCGGCCTCGGTGTCGTCGCCGCCGGGCGGGCGAGGAGAAGCAGGAGGTGGCACCCATTAGGCACTGCAAGGGCGTCAACGACCTCGACAAGGTCGTGCTCCGCGAGGTCCAAGGCAGCTCAGCAGAACTCCCGCGAGTCACCGGGCATGTTCCGGCTGTCGGATCCCAACGCAGATCCACGGCACTTGCTGTGGTGCTGTTCGAAGCCCGATTTCTCGGTTGCTGCCCCGGCCTTTTTGAAGCGTCCCTGGTCATCCAGGAACTCAAATGTGATACAATATCAGTCCCAGGAGGCTAATAACACATTTATTATATCAGATAAGTCTCAGTTCAGTAGTTTCGACAAGCGTGGACAATGAAGACATGCCACGATTAGAAGCAACAAGAACATAATATAGGTCCAATAGACCCAGAAACAAAAGGAATCGTAGTCAAACATCTGACGGGTCCCAATGCCACGGGCTTAGTTGGGTGTAGGCACGACCTTACTCGAACGTAGCTTTGGGATTGAAGTCCGGATCTTCCTCTGTTCAACAAAGCAAGGGTGAGTACAAAGTACTCAACAAGTCCAACATTACCCTACGGAGGGGGATAAGAGTACATGCATATGTATATATCAAGGATAAGGCTTGGTTTTATTTGCAGAAAGCTATCTTTAAACACATGCAGGGTTTCATTTCATAAATACCTTTGCAAAAGACATATATTCTCCATATATAAGAGTAATTCTGAAAAGGGGTTTGTCACAATTTTAAGTGTTGTTAAACATGTTGTTCCCACAACACATGGTTGTCAACCATTTCTTTCCAAAATCACACTCGTTAATATTTCCACTCATCCCAACCCATCTAGTTGTTGAAACCCAACCATAACCCGTCTGAGACCGAGGACACGGCTATCCGAATAAATTTTATACTCTACAAAGGTTGTACACTTTCACCACAAGTAGGATACCGTAACTTAACACCGTCGTGCAAGCACAGATCCATTGGAGCCATTACCCTCCATAGCTGAATACTGGCGCTCACCACGGGTACACTAAGGCAACAATATCATAATACAATAATTTACAGAGCTCATTACATTTCATACAATTCCTCAGTTCCCACATACATCTCTTAGTGTCTTGTTGCACCGTCCACCTCCGTCCAATTAACCGTGCACCCAACTAGCACCGGTGGTTAGCTCGCGATTGGAGTCGACCCGACGAGCTTTCATCCTCCAATGAGGTACTGTGGAGCATTTCCCTCGCGGCGGTCCGCCATGGCCGTCGGGGTGGGTGCTCGGCCAGGGCGTCGTTCCTTGCCCTTTGTTCAATTGAGCGGTGCTTTTGCGTCTCCTTGACTTGGTTGCCTCTCCTGTGAAACAGTTTCACCAAGGGTGCAGCGAGTCACCGAGAACGTCGTCGCCGCGCTTGTCGTGAACCAGAGCAACCCCGCGCACGTGGCCAACCACCTTGTCGAGCCTCGCGACTTCGTCCAGGGCGTCCTACATGTCTCTGGTGAGGCCGTCCTGCTCCTAGGGTAAATGGTTGAATCGGTTAGGGCCGAGGCTCGCCAGAGCGCATGGCCGCCTCCGGCGAACGTGGTGTAAATGCTATGTCCGTGGCCGGCTCGTTTGGGAGTAGAACGGGTATATCTAGGACCTCTAGAATGTTATCAGTACTCTAGGCATGGAGTCTAGGTAGTGATGGTAGCGCTGGGCTAGACGTTTTGCCGCGGCGTCGGTGTCACCGCGGCCAAACCCCGTCGTGGTGCATGGCCACACCTCTGTGCAGCACCAATCATGGTGTTTTATACCTCTATCGACTGCGCTTGTGATGAAGAGTATCACGGTGGTGATGTTTGCTGTCGAGGAGGTCCATGCTCGTCGGCGTTTGGCCGGAGATGCCGCGGCCTCTAATAAGTTCCGGCCAGGGACTTTGGAACGGGAATTCAAAGTAAGTCAGGGGGGTGTTAGTGAGAGCGTCAGAGAGAGAGAGGGAAATAGTAGAAAGGACTGCGGGTCCATTTGGTTGAAAGCCGAGGGCTCTTTTGCATAAGCGTCGGCTCACGCGGGGTCTCCCCTCCGTGGGCCATGCCGGTGTGCTGCGCGTGCGCGCGCGATGCGCGGGAGTGGGCCGTGCGGTGGATTTCGGTTTTTCATTTTCCAGTGAATTAGTAAAGGTTTATTCAATTTATGTTTGAGCTGAACTTTGAAAATTTATAGTAAATTCTATAGATGTTCAAAAATAGTGAAACAAAATTTGTTAGGTTCACAAAAATGCTATCCAGCTGTTGGTGTAGTTAGTTTACAGTTATCT